AGCGGCAGGTTTCCCAGGCCTCCGCCCAGCATATTTCGGCATACGTTTCACACGCTTCGTGGCCCCACGGGGAGCTGCACCGACGGCCCCACAGGCAGGGCCCACAGGCCGCCGCCCAGCCCATTCCGTCATACGGTCAGAAGCTTCGTGGCCCCATTGGGGAGCACCCCCGATGGCCCAAGCGACAGGGTCCACATGCCGTCGCCCAGCCCATGTCGTCCACGAGTGGCGCCCAGCACGGCTCCAAGAGCGCCCCAAGAGGCGCCGAGTAAGTTGCACCCTCATGCAAATAGTTTTTGTCACTTGTGGGGGTCCTCTTGGGGCCCTCTTGGAGCATTATTGGGGCCCTCTGGGAGCGTTCTTGGGGCCTTCCCGGGGCCCCAGTGGGCCCTCGGAGGGCCCCAAGAACGTTCCCCGAGGGCCCCAAGAGGGACCCCCCAAAGTGGTACAAAGAATTCGCGCGAACGTGCAATCTGTTGTAGGCCTTTCGGGGCCCTCTGGGAGCTCTCTTGGGGCCCCCATTGGTGGCGCCTTGGGGCCTTGGGATGGTTCCAAGAGGCTTCGGGATTGCCCCAGACCGCCACAAGACAGCTCCGAGACGGCCGTCGAGCACCACGGGTGAAAGCAAGTGAGGCTAGGGAACAGGGCCTCTGGTAAGCCGCCACTGCGCCCCCTGGACTACCCAGACAGCGAGGGGACCTGAAACGCCCTGGGGCTCCAGGGGCCCCAGATTAGTGAAGTGAAGGTTTTTGCCATGCAAGCACCCCGAAATTCTTCACTTCACTAAACCGGACCCAGGACGAACTCGCTACGCTCCAGTCCCGCGGGAGATCCAAGACTCCCGCCGCCGCCCGGGGACGTTGCTGCATTGCGGTGCTCTGGTCATTGTTAATGGCTTCCGCGGGCTGCAGCGGCTCACTTCCATGACTACCCCGACTCACGAATCCAGTGGTTGGTCTGGCTCTATGGGTTGGTTTCGTTGTGTCGGTTGATTTTGTGCTTGGTTGGCGGTCGGTGGATTTCGCGTTGTTCATTGGTGTCGTGAAGTGATTTGTCGTTTGGTTGGTCAGTGCCGTTTTGTTGATTCGTGCCGTTTTGTTGGTTGGTGTCGTTTCGTTGGTTGGTGTCGTTTTGTTGTTTGGTGTCGTTTTGTTGCTTGGTGTCCTTTTGTTGGCCGGTGTCGATTTGTTGGTTTGTTGGTTGGTGTCGGTTTGTTGGTTGGTGTCGTTTTGTTGCTTGGCGTCGTCCTGGCGGCGTGGCCGATAATCGGCGGCCTGCAATGGCGCCAGGATTTGTTTCGGGCCAGCCTTGATCGCCCTCATCATTCTCATATTCGTCAGCGTCAGCACTCGTCGCCCCCATCCGCGCACACATGCGGCCCTGGTACGGCTCTCACGCGGCCCTGCGAAGGCCTTCACTGTGCTCCCCAAAGCTTTCTGAGGGGCCCCCCAGAGGCCCCAAGAGGGCACTGGAAATTGTCGCTTCCAACTCCGCCAGGCGGAGGTCAACAAGGGTCTCACTGGTGCACTTCCAGGAATCGTCGTTCGATCCTCTTGGGGCCCTCCTGGGGCCTTCTGGAGCCGTCTTGGAAGCTCCGAGCGGCTCCATGAAGGCGCCGCGGGCGATTTGCGCCCTCCTCTGCCTTTGAAAAAACCCCGATGGGGTTCTTCAGTGCCGTCTTAGGGCCCCTAACAGGCTTCCAGCAGGGTATTGAAGTTATCGCTTCCAACTCCGCCACGCGGAGTTGAACCCAGGGCGGCTCTCTATGGCCCTTTCGGGGCCTTCTTAGAGCTTTTCTGAGGCCCTAAATGGGCCCTGGGAGGTGTCATTTTCACAGGCGTTGAAAGTGACACCACGGAGGGCCCTCTTGGGTCCTTCTTGTGGCCTCTCTTGGGTCCCTCTGGGAGCCCTCTTGGTGCCGCCCTGGGGCCTTCTCGGAGCCTTTTTGGAGCCTTTCTGATGCTCTTTAAGTGGGCCCTGGGAGGTCTCACTTTCACGGGCGCTGAAAGTGACACACCGCTTTCCCTCGTAGCGCTGCCTGTGGCCAGGGCATTGTGCAGCGCATCCCTCGTCGAACGTATTTTGTCGGACGCGTGGTCGAATTCCGCCAGTTCGGTCGAGATGGTGGTCAAGCGGTTCGGTTGCAATGTAGCCATGCGGATCTGAGCTTACCATTTCTTGCCATTTTGGCGGGGATCGCAGGAGCGTTTGTGTTGTGATCAGTTGTGCTCGATATATCCAGCGGCAGCGTTTCATCCCAATATATTATTTTGAAAAAAATCAGCAGGGATGTGAAACAACATAGGTCTCGTACTTCACCCCGTGCCGGCACGCATTTGGCGTGTCTTTTGTTTTCTTCGGTGCGCATTTGGCGCATCTGCCTCCATGCATTCTCACGCGCATCTACGCTTGGTAAGAGATTGTCGGGCTATTTCGGGCCATGCTCGGCTATTTTGGGTCATCTTTTGCCATTCTTTTTTTCAAGCATCTTCTTGGAGAGATCTTGGGCAATAAGGGGGCCGTCTTAGGCTTGTTTGGACAGAAATTTATTGAAAAAAACCAAGAGGCAAGAATAGCAACCATATAAATATGTTTTAAGATTTGGCATCTTGGAAAGCAGTTGGTGGAAGAGGGCATTCGGATACTATTTTAGAGGCTGTCTTACGACTTTGAAGCCTTCTTGGAACTTGTTTGGCGTTTTTGGCCATGCGCTCGGGCTTCAGAAAAAACGATTTTTGACATATGCATTCGAAACGTATCACGATTATTTAATATTCTTAATATCATCGCTAATTTGCTAAACCGTGGTAATCAATGTCACAAAACATTGGCGCAACGAACGAAGATTACCACCTAGCAGGATAATATTTTTTTTTCCAGGTGCGAGCCCCAACAGGTGACGACGAAGGCGGCGGGTGAGACAGAGCAGCGACGCCCGAAAAACGTCTAAGACGGAGGGCGGCAGCAGCGCGGCGGCAGCGGGGCGGCTAAGCAGCTAAAGTGAAGGAGGAGGAGGAGGAGGAGGACGAGGAGGACGAGGAGGAGGAGGACCTCCAAATCAGCCAGGCCGGGAACCGGCTCAAGTGAGGTCGTTGGTAGGTCTCCGGGGTCATGTAGGACCATGTGCGCCATTGATCGTTGCAGGGCAATACCAAGTAACCCCCACCAACGATGAAGTAAGCCTAATTCGGTCCCACGCCGTACCCTTGCTGGGAGAAATCGGCACCTTTCTCTGGCCAGAGCGGGAACGATTTGAATGCATTGGTTGCCCCATCGTCCATACACCTCTGATCCCAAGCACAGTAGAGCCCCAAGTCCTGAGTCCACCACTTCCCTGTATGTGTTGTTGTTTTCGTTTTCAGCCCTTTCTAGTAGCCCACCACTCTGGTTGCTTGTGCCCGTCCGAGCGGTTCCCGTCCTTTGAATTGGGGAAACCACTGTGATATCGCAAAACAGCGGTAAGCCTCGTGCCACATTCGTGCCTCCTGCGGGCACCGGAACATGCGTCGTGCTTAGGGTGCGTTCTATTTCCGATCAGGTATGAGCCCCCCGCCTTCTGTAAAGACCTGGCGCCAAGCTGTGACCATCCACGTATGTCGAGAATTGAGACGACCATACGTGTTATCCGACATTCGAGAATGGCCGTGCGGGTCCCCTCCTCGAATAGTATCCAATTCCGAGTCGTCGTCGCACAGCGCAAGATGTCACAAAACATTGGCGCAACGAACGCAGACTACCACTTAGCACGATAACTAGGAATTATATTACGGCGAAGCCGGTATATAGGAGCCGTATTCTGGTTCATTCTTAAAAACCATTACACATTGAGCGGTACAGCGGGCTACGCTTTGTGATTTTATTAATCATTGTTAAAAAAGTAAGGCAATATTGTGGCTAAGCGCTGCCGGATCGAATTCAAAGAAAAATATCGGAAAACATCTCTAGCACCACGCCCGAAGATTTATACGATTACATTCACAATGCAGATGTATGTCCGATGTAATTTCAAACTGTCGGCCGGGTGTCGGCGCTAATCACCGGCGCCGCCGTGATGTGTTTCACTTTGGCGGGCGTTGCCCCGCGACTCGCCCGAGCAGGGAAACCATTTTCTATATCACGCCCCTGGGTTGTTTTCCTTCATCACAAGCTGTCATGAAGTAGGGGGGGCCTGAGCCCCTCACACATTGGTGCTCGCGCACAGCGCCCCCCCCGCCCCGACGTGCCCCGCTCCGCCCAACCGGAACCGTTACCCGGAGCCTCAATCCCCCCCCCGGGCAGCGACCGTGACCCAGAAGTAACACAAACATTGTCCGCACCAGCGGCCGCTCCTGGCCAGGGCCAGTCGCACGTAGACGACAGCGCAAGAGGAGCGGGAAGGGTCGGAGGCGAACCAGGCTGGGGAGGGCACGTGGCACCAGCCAGAAAATCAAGGCTTCGCCCCACGCTTCCGGGACTTCAGAGCTGCCTTGTCCCATCGATGTTCAGACCGTCTCCTCATTCGGTGGGGACGGGCGCGGCGGAGGAGGCCAGGGGGACGTCAGCTGCAGGCGGGCGCAAGCCCAGATTTCCGGCGACATCGTTTTGTCAAGTGGCGTTTTTTCTTCGATCTGGGCTTCCGGGGCTCACGATGCCGGGCCCCAGGGCCACCAGAAATGGATCCCTGACTCGGGAGTTCAGGGGCCGCGGCTTGAACAAAAGCGCATCAGAGTATGTCTGGGGGGAGGCGAAGGATGGGCGGGAGAGGCGGAGGAGGCCGGGCGGCAGGGCACCGGGCAGCGGCCGTCCCCCGGGGACCGAAACCCCAGTCACAAAACCTCCCAAACCGACCCCTTGCGGGGGGATCTTCTGGAGGCACATCACCCCTATCCCCCCCCAAAAGAAAAACGAGAAGGGTGTTTGGGAGGGCTCCAGAAAGACAACGCATCGAACCCTCCAAACAATCAAACCTTGAACGTGGGTCTTTTCCCGTCGCCATCTTGGCTCAAGGCTTGTAGGTGCAGGCCGCCGGCTCGCGGGCTTCGCCGCCGCGTGCCCTTCTCCCCTGGGGCGCCGCTTGGCCGATGGCGTCCGGCGCGGCGCGCGCACAGATGGCCGCTCGCCTGGGCCGCCGGCCAGGAGTGATGGGCCTGTTTTCCACCACCACCATCACCATAAGTTGGAGGGGGAGGGGCTCCTCCTCCTCCTCCTCCTCCTCCTCCTCCTCCTCCTCCTCCTCCTCCTCCTCCTCCCTCCTCCTCCTCTCCTCCTCCTCCTCCTCCTCCTCCTCCTCCTCTCCTCCTCCTCCTCCTCCTCCTCCTCCTCCTCCTCCTCCTCCTCCTCCTCCTCCTCCTCCTCCTCCTCCTCCTCATACTACTCATTGTGGCGGTGGTGGAAACCGTGCCCAGCAAGGAGGTGTCCAGAGCTGGTGGGCGAGCCGCGGGGCGGCGGCCGCCGCCCGGGCTCCGCCGCCAGCGCCCGCCGGCCTGCGCGGGCCCCTGTGGCACGCGGCGGCTGCCCTTCCTCCCCAGACATGGTCGCGTCGTTAAAATCAAGCAGTGGCAAAGCGTCCTGGCGTGCCTATAGCCCTACCAAGCAATGTTTTAAGAACCTTTTGTGGCTTCCACGAAATGTTCTTAGAACATTTCTGGTTGGGACTGTCTTGGTTTGCTCTTGAGGCGACAGGCGGCGACGATGAGCTCGGCAGACCACATCGGCGCCGCCGAAGGGACGGCGTCGGGACGAGCTGCGTGCAGCTCGTCCAGGAGGCGCGTTCCAGGCTCAAGAGGAATTACACCAGAGAAACACCCCAATCAGTGGATGGTTTTCGCTGAGGAGATCGACCGAGAACCCGGGAGCCCGGGAACCCAGAACCCACCGAAATCGGCCCGGAGCCTATATAACCGGGAACCCCTGCAGGAAGCCGGGAACCCGGCCTGCTACCAAAATCGGCGGGAAGCTTTCGCCAAAGCTCTCAACTTCCGCTGTCACCACCTACCAGAGCACCCCAACCCAACCCGAAGGCCTCAATTTGCCCTCCATTTCCAGTGGGGGGGGGGTCGGAGAACGTTGAAAAAACACATGGAACCCGTACCCTCCCCAACCAGAAATTCGGGTCAAATTTGGGTCTTCGGGTTGGGTTGGGGTGGTCTGGTAGGTAGTCACGCTGGGACCCCTTTAGTGCAAGCACTGATTGGGGACTCGCAGGACGGCAAGCTTTGCGTTGTTTTCGGCACCATGGGGGCCGTCGCCCGGCCCCGGGACCGTCGAGGTCGGCCCCGGGGAAAGGGTCTGGGCTTCCGGGGAGGCCGCGCTGAGACAATCAGGGCGTCGCATGTCTGGGTCTTCCCCCCGTCGCGCCCGGACCTGCTCTCCAGCCACACGCGGCCTGGCTCGTGGCCTGCAGGGGCCTGGCCGCGCAGAGGCGGGTGGACCCGGACAGGCCCAAGAGGCCCACGAGCGCGTATCTGCGATTCCTGAGTGAGTTCCGTTCGCAGAAGCCTGCCGACCTTTCCGGGAAGGACCTCATGAAGGCGGCGGGAGCCGAGTGGAAGGCGCTGCCCGCGGAGCGCAAGAAGCCCTACGAGGCCGCCTACGAAAAGGAGGCGGTGGTGTACAGGAGTGCTTACGATCAGTACGTGTCTTCAGGGAAGAAGGACGCGTTCAAGCGAGACCCAGACAAACCCAAGAGACCACTCACAGGTTTCCTGCGGTTTGTGGCTGAGAAGAGGGAGCAAAACAAAGACGCTAAGCCGACGGTCCTAACGAAGGAGGCGAGTGACTCCTGGAAGGGCATGTCGGAGGCGCAGCGGAAGCCATACAACGAGGCGTACGAGCTGGACACGGCACGATACGCAGAGAAAATGAAGGCATACGTTGCAACTGGAAAAGAGGAGGAGTGGAAGGCCAAAGTCGGCATCAAGACCATGTCGGAGAAGCTCGAGGAGAAGAAGGCCGCCAAGGAGGCCGCGGCGCTCAAGAGGAAGGCCGAGGCGGAAAAAAAGAAGGCGGCCGCCCAGAAGAAGAAGGACGCGCTGAAGGCCAAGAAGGCCGCCGCCGCGGAGAAGAAGGCCGCACAAAAGGCAGCCGCGGCGGACAAGAAGAGGGCCAAGGCTGCCGCGCTCAAGGCTAAGGCGGCGGAGACCCTGGCCAAGAAGAAGAAGGCCCAGGCGGCGAAGGCAGCTAAGGAGAAGAAGGTTGTCAGCACGGGGAAAGCCAAGTGAGGCAGCCTTCCTCATGCTCTTCCTCCTCCTCCCCCCTCTCCCTCAGATCGAGCCTCCTCGATCCTCCTCGCTCGTTGATCCTCCTCGTGCACTGGCCAGGGGGGGGGGGCGTAGGCTGCGCTGGGGGTCGCCGCAGCCGCCACTGCCCCCCGCCTCAATCGTCATCATCGCCGTCGCGAATGGCATAATTGCATAGCTTCTTCAGCTTCTCTGCAACTCCGCACCGCCTCGTATCAGACAGAGGGACCCGCACGAGCTGTCCGACTGTCGAGGCATGCGCCTCTCGCTGGCGCGTGCCTCCCACCTCTGCCTGGTGCTGTAAAGGTATGCAGTATTCTTCCCTGACGGCATCCCTTCAGTCGTTTCAATCCCTGGCGGGCGGCAATTACTTTTAGGGATCATGGGGGTAATCACTGCAAGCTGATGCTGTCCGACCAGATTGAGGGCAAGAATGTTGGAAAAGTAGTATTCGCGGGAGAGAGAAACTTGAGGGGGGGCCTGGGGGAATCCCCCCTTCACCTTGCTAAAAACCCTTCCTGGAGGGGGTCGGCGCTGAGCACCAGGGCCCGGCCGCGCCCGCGGGACGTGGTCAAAGCTCCACTGGTCGGCTATACGTAAGAGTGACGTTTCGCTGGAGGGTCCTCGGGTGCGGGCACAGTGAGGCCCGCAGATGGCCGGATGCGATGCGACAACAGTGGCTTGCGCGCTCCAGCTTGGCCACCCCGCGCCCCCGCCGAGCCGCGCACCAAATGCAACTCTTGCCCAGGCGCGCTCTTGCGTGGAGCCGATGGGTGCGCGGTCGACGGGCGAGTCGGGCGCCCGCACGCAGCGCACGTCGGCCGTGGGGGCGTTGGCTGCCCAGCGTGCTCGGGTCGCTGCTCCTCCAGGCTCCATCGGGGCGTTGCCGAACGAGTGACGACAGGAAACGGGGTCGATTCCGCCGGCATTCGCGCGTGAGTTTCCCGCGTAAGGCCACGCGCAAGCGCCCGCGGCTCCAAGGTGGCGTACCGCGTTGGCGGCCCGCGTAAACCGCGGCATAAGGTCGCTACGTCATCGCTACGTCATCGCTCAAAGTGTCCCTGCCAGGGTGTCCCAAGGGCCCTGGGGAGGCCCGCAGGTCGAATAACAAAAGAAGGCATACGCATTATTTCTCGGAGGTCCTCGCGGATCTCTTGGAGCGGCGCCTCTGGCGCCGAGTCAGGGAGGGGAGTCCAGCGCCAATCTAAGAAATCCGCGCAGACCTCCGAGAAATTACGCAGATGTTTCCCCTAAGATGGCCGCCAGACCACCCCTCACAAGGCCCAGAGTGCCCCAGGGGCATCAAAATGGTGGAAAAAACGGGGGTCGCCTTGGGCCAGGAACATTTCTGGCAACACCCGATCCATGGCCGCGCGCAGTCAGCTGCCGATTCTCGCTTCGCTTCGCCAGCGGTCGAATCATGTGATGTGGCACACCTGGTGCGAGGAGCACGAGGCAGGCTCATGTGCGGGCGCGTGTCAGAAGTCCAGCCCTCGGGTAGATTCGAGGCAGCCGCCCAGTAAAATTCGTACCATCCGCGTTGTGGGCTATGGTCGCTGCTGTTGCGGTTGCTCGCCGGAGATTCCGTGCGCGTGGACGACCACAGGAGCAGGAGGAGGAGGCCAGCCGCTTCGTGCGAAGAGGTGGAAGGAGAGGGAGGAGGAGGAGGAGGAGGAGGAGGAGGAGGAGGAGGAGGAGGAGGAAGAGGAGGAGGAGGGTATTGGCGTTCAATGCGCTGTGGTTTAACCAGGGCCCGATATCCACCCCTTCTGCCTTCCTCCATGCTGTGTTTCGGGATGTAGGAGAGGACGGATGGGGCTCCCACTCTTCTTCCTTCCCATGTTCGGAGCACAAGAAACGACGCACCTGGGCGTGGGTGCGTCCCGCGGCCGCGCAACGGCGGGCGCCCTTGGGATGCTAGCGAGCGCGCGACTGCGGGTCAGGGATCGCCGTCTGATGGCGTTGCGCAGCAGGAGGATGAGGACAGCAGGGGAATGGTGAGGAGGAGGGGGGGAGTCAACCCCTTGTTGTGGCGCGGGGGCTCGGGTGGCCCCAGGAGGCGAGGCCCAGACGCGGCAGCGGGGTCCAGGGTCCAAGGCGAGCCCGGTCCTGCCCACCCCTTCGGCCGCAACCTCGTTTTTTTGAGGGGGAATCTGGGTCTTACACATCCATAAGCACTGTTTAAAGTGCATGGGCTCCAGACTTCGTTTTAAGGAAAACCCTGAATCTGGACTGGACCCTGGGCGCTTTCTTATATTTTGGTGCGCAAGTATTTCGTGTCTCTGTGCCTGGACTACTGTTTAAGAACGCGCTCGGAGCGAAGTCCACTTTCTCAGCTCCAACATCGTCTTAGCTTTAAGCAGGGGTGTAGCGTAAATGATACCCCTATCGCATGCGTTGCTCAGGGCTGTGCTCATACGGATGCGCATATGCTTGTTTCGTGCTCCTCTTCTCTATTTATTGCTAGCCGGCCGCTCTGTGGTTGATTGCCGGTTTCTGTATGTAGAGATGAGGAATGCGCAGGGACTTCTCTGGGCCGCTCCCTTTGGTTCGATGTTGCGAGGACTCCCCGAGCGAGGGCGCCTGTGCGGGATTCTGCGCCAGGAGTCAGAATGACGTGAGTTCTACAGAAACTCCCCCAAGTTTAGTACATCTACCCAGGCACTACCACCTGGCCGGCCAGTAGGGGTCCTTATTCAAATTGAACGTTTTCCCTTTCAACCTGGACGTGGTGGCGTCGACGTTGCAAAATGCGTGGCAAGAATGTGACAAGGCGCCCATGCCGCGCGGATGGGCAAAGTGCCGCTTTTGCCTGTGCGCCGAGCTCATGTTCCTAAGGATTGAGCTCCCACTTGGGCACTGCGCGCACTGTTGGCTCGCCAGTTCGTCAAGGCGCGCGCACGCGGGCGAAGATGTCACAGATTTTGCCTGAAAGTGGCGTTCCCGCCTCGGCGCGGCGCGTATGCTTCGCTCGTCAAGCCGTTGCGGGGGCAGGGGCCGCGCGCGCGAGCAGGCAGCTTGTCGCCCTCGCCGACGCGCCGTGCGCATTTCGCCTGGCGGCACCGCTCCCGCGCGGGCGCGGCTCATGCTTCGCTCGTCGAAGCACATGGCAGTGGCGGCGGTATTGGGGCCGCGCGACAGTGGGCGAAACCCTGTCCTCGCGCAAGCATCGCGCAGTTGGTGCGCCAGGCTGTGAAGGCGGCAGTGCTGTGTCGACGCGGCGTCGGACTCGTCTTCGCCGCGCCCGCTGGAACTCTGGCCGCACGGCGTAGGTTCGCGGATGCTCTCGCCACCTCGTCGCGCAGGGGATTTCTGGCGTTCCGCTCCCGCCCGTGCGCGGCCCGCGTCTGTGTTTTCTCCCGTGAGGTCGTCGGAAGCGGGAGACCGCGCGAGCGCCTTCGGCTCGTTGGGTGGGAGCGCGCTCCGATCCCAAGATCAAGCCGTGTCACCATCGATCCTCGTGCTGTGGGAGGGAGGGGGTCTGGGGAGGGGAATGGGCGGAGCCCGCTGGCGCGCTCGACCTGGCCAATTCCCACCCGTCTTCCTCACACCCCTGCCCTCATGTTGGCTTCATGCGTGAGTGCATGCTCCCACTTCCGGTCGTTTTCTTCTCGCTGGGGGCCCCAAGCGGGTCGCTCCGAGGTTGCGTGTTTCTTTCTGGCGTTGGCGTTCTGTCGTCGACGTGTCAGAATGAGCGGCGGGGACGGGACGCGGCGTACAATGTGCGCGCGAGGGATCGAAACTATGATCTGGCTGCGGCGGCGCGCAGTGGTGCCGCGACATGTGCGCTTAAGTGTGGGCGCGGTTCACACATGTTGCCCGCGCCAAGAGTCATTTTCAAGGTTACGATCAGCTCGGGGGCTGCGCATGTTCTCAATCGCCAAAAGTTTCATTGGGAGGCGAACCATGCATGAGCGAAAACGGAGTGCAACTTTCGCTTCAGAGCCTCGATTATTCCTCCAAGTTGCCCTGTAGCTGAGGTGCGACACGTCGTTTCCCTCGGCACGTCGTCGGAACCTGTTCGCGCAGCGGAGAGCGTAATGTTGCCTTCGCTGTCTGGCCAACACTAAACACACCAATGAAGAGGCTGCCTGTCAGCAGGTGCCCCACGAAAGTTTCTTACAGTCGGGGCGCTGAAATACGGAATTCTTCCGTTGGGGAGGGGCTCCGTGTTCCTTATCATGTGGAAATCGAAGTCTACCTTCTGGAAGAAAGGTGCCTCGTCCCTTACTTAGGGTTCCTTGGGTCAGCGCCCCGACTGTACCCCTCGAGCGGCCCTGGGGACCCGCCTAGAAGCCCTTGGTGCAGCTCTGGGAGCCCAAAAAGCTCGATGACCAGCTTGCCCAAATATTTTCTTACAGGACGATGTTTATCATCTCCTCCTCCTCCTCCTCCTCCTCCTCCTCCTCCTCCTCCTCCTCCTCCTCCTCTTCCCTTCTCCTCCTCCTCCTCCTCATCCTCCTCCTCCTCTCCCCCTCCTCCGCCTCCTCCTCCTCCTCCTCCTCCTCCTCCTCCTCCTCCTCCTCCTCCTCCCGCCCTCCTCCTCCTCCTCCTCCTCCTCCTCCTCCGCCTCCTCCTCCTCCTCCTCCTTTTCTTTTGTCACAGCAAGATCACCGTATGTGTACTCGTGCGCTCCCGCTTGCGATCGGCGCACTCGTGCGCCAGATCTCTGGGAATCAGGCCACGCACGGCCGGGCGCCTTCTACTCCGCCGGGCGAAATCACGCGCCGATCCAACCGTGCAATCAGTACGACACTGACTCGTGTGCAATATGAGAGAGGGTGCGAGAAAGAAATGGAGAGAGACGCTGAGGTCTGAGATCCTGGCTGTGTAGTTTTTCGCAACGGGCGATGTTGCCCTGTCTCGGGTCCGGGAACATCACTGATCGATCCGGCTCGAAAAATGCAACAGAACGACGGGGTTCAGGCATCCGGCCGAGTTGTTGTTTACGCCGTTACAATGCGTAGGTGACGTCGGACCTCAGGGGAGAATTGGATCGGGCGGGGCCCTCGACTTGCCCAAGCCGGCTCTCCTCAGCCGGTACTCACCGAGGCCAAGACCCAGACCTCCTTACGGTAGGTTCGCGTTGTGTCGACAAGCGGCGACCCCGTCGCAGGCGGTCAACTTTGAACGCCGCCGGCGATTCAGAATCGGTCGATCTTGAACGATTTAACGTTTCAGAAACGGCCGATCGTTCAAGGTTGAATGATCCCCACGGTGTCAGGAACCAACGCCGGGGTCGACAGAACACGAAACTGCGGTAGGATTCTTCAGGAGCTCTCAAGAAGGATTCCAGCGTGGAGCTCGCGCATCATGGAGCCCTCAGGATTCAGGAGACCAGAATTCGGAGTCCGTAGGACCCCTTAGCATTCCGAACCTAAGAACTCCTGCCGGAATGTGGGGTTCCCGAGGAACTCGCCTCAGACACCAACCCAGGCCTTCAAAGAATTCTTCCGAATACGTCGGGCTGTTGGCATGGGCGCCCAGATGGGCCTTGGCCCTGTCACCAACCGAAGCTCGAGATTGCATGGCAGCCGGACGCGGTGACCCACAAGAGGCATTGGATTCCATGGCGGGCGGGCCCCGTGGCCCGACAAAAGCACGGGGTCCTGTGGCAGGTGGGCCCCAGGCCATGCAAAGTACACAGGTAATGGGATCGTGGCGGCAGGTGGGCCCCGCGCCTCACAAAACGCACGGGATTTCAGAGCGGGAGCACCCCGCGCCCCGTCCTAGGTAAATAACAGTTCGCTCGCAATGAGCCCAAGGGGTATCATGTTGTAGACAAGCGGGAGCGCTCACAATGTATGTTGTTGAAGATCACGCCGTTTGCAACAGCCGCTTCTCTCAGCCGCTCCCGGACGGCACTTGGAGGCCCCTCGCGCTTGAGCCAGGCAGTGTCCGAAGCCCCTCGGAAAGGTCCACATGGGACATTGTTCGATGCTCATATGTTCGGCCGCTGCGCGTGCGGAGCGCCATGGGGCCGCACCCTCCAAGACCTGCGGTTGGTCGTGTCGCCGCGCGCGCCAGTCTCAGCGTGAGTCCCTCGGGCTTGCCAGTCCCACCACCCCGCCGTGTAGAATCGAGTTCACCCTTGGTCGCTTCCGTCTGCCTCCCTGTCGTTGCATGCTTGCCTCACTTTCGCATGCCTCTCTCGCGCACTCCCTCGTGGCGTGTCGGCCTCTGCGTCTTGCCGCCTGTTTTTACATAAGCTGTCTGGGACTACCTTTGATCGAATTGGGACCGTAGCCTGGGCAGCACCCACGCGCACTTTCCTTGACGAATATGCCTGCCCATGTCCACGCCGGTCCGTGAGTCCGTCTCCCATCCTATCTCTGTGTAAGCGCTTCTCGCGATGCGTATCCCATGGGAGGAGCTCAAGCGGGTTATTCGTCATGGGTCTCGCCGCTGGGGCAAGACTGGCTTGGCCATCGTTGGCGGGGCTGACAGCTTGACGGGCCGAGGATTCGGACAGGACAGGTAGATTGTTGTCATGATGTTATTCGCGTTTCTTCGTTCATCTCTCTTTCCATCCCACCCCTTGTCCTCCGTCCGTCCGTCCGTCTGCTTCTCCTCAACTGTACTCTGTTTCTGCGTCTACGCAGCTTGTTCCATGCCTCTAGGCCCAGATTTGATGTGGGGATCTTGCATCATCGGATGGCCCACGACCGATGCCTCGGTATGATTCGCATTCGTTCTCTCAGGATGCACGAACGTTGCGCGTTCCAATTTGGTGCTCGGATTGTCTGGCCGTGGCGCAGGCTGCCTTGGGTCGCGCAGTCGCGAAGGAGCTTCGGCACAGTACGCGGGCACATGAAGGGCGCCACTGCCTTTCTCGGAGGTGACCCGGTGCCACCCGGTGCGGTCCCTCATGACATCTCTAGACGCCAGGGACGACCGCCGTCCTCGCTCATTCCTCCTCCTCCTCCTTCTCCTCCCCCTCCCCCATCCAGCGCACGCTGCAGAGCACAGTAGATCAGCAGAGACACATTGGACCATGAAGTGCTTTTACTCATTCATTCATTCATTCATTCATTCATTGATTCATTCATTCATGCCTCCCCCATCCTCCTCCTCCTCCTCCTCCTCCTCCTCCTCCTCCTCCTCCTCCTGGCCTCCTCCCCTCACCCTTCCCCCTCCCTCCTCCTCTCCTCCTGCTTCCCTCATCTTTCCTTCTTCTCCTGTCATCCCTCCTCTTTCCTCCTGCCTCTCTCTCTTCTCCATCCCCTCTCCCTCCTGCCTCTCTGCCTCTCCTGTCTGCACTCGTCCTTCATCCCCCGTCTCCCTCACCCTCCCGCCCTCCCTTCCGGGAGCAGCAAATGCAGAGTACAGTGTATTGCGTTGAAGCATTAAGGGCATGTGGCCTCTCCTACTTGTGAGCGTGCGCGGAGCAGTTGGGAGGAAGCAGTGCAAGGGGACGGAAGCCTTTGGTGGGATGATGACCGTGGGGACGAGTGCTCTTCTCCATGCGGCCTGTGCCGCGGGGATGCTTCAGCGCTATGAGCTGCAGCAGGGCTTCCTGCCTCGCGTGAAACCCTACCTGGGGCTTACTGTCATAGGGGGAGGGGCGCGGGGGGCAGCCACTTGACAGGGCCGGCAGGTGGATCCTGGAACGCCGGCGACTCCCTGCCTCTGTCCTCCCTCTCCTCTCGGTTAGGCCCGAGAGTGACCCTTTGCCAGAGCGACCTTTATTTAATCGCTTCGCTCATTCTGCCGGCCCTGGAGCCCTCTTTAGGGCCTCTTGCTTGGGGGCCTCTTGGGGACCTCTTGGGAGTCTCTTGGGGCTCCCTGGCGGCGTCTTGGGGGCCCCCAGGGCCTCTTGGGGGGGTTTGGGGGGCCTCTCGGGGCGGGAGGGGGGGTAGTCGATTGCGGCTCCCCCCTCGGAGGCCACGATCCTCGTGAGCGGTGTCGAAAAATGGCCCTCCCCTGGAGTGCTCTGGTGGCTTCTCCCGGGACCTTGCTGGGGTACTTTTTCATCCGCGGGCCCCCGAGGCCGCTCCGCGCGCGCGAAGTAGAAATTGTGTTAACCAGGTGCCAGAGATCTTAGCACGCTTCTGGCCCTTTTCGGGGAGACGTAAGACTCGAGTGAGCCGGAACTCGGGTTTGCCGATTTTTTTTGACGAGCGCGCCCTGGATTTTGACGGTCCCGTTTTCGTGGGATGTCTGCAGCGGGAGCCCGCGTCAAATTTCAGATTGGGTCTCGTCATTTTTGTGTTGGCGCCCTTCAGGCCAACCCGAGTCTTACGTCTCCCCGACCGTTGGGCGGGGGGAATTTAGTGCATGGCTTTCGGGTGGCGCGGGGAGGACCTCGTCCAATCATGCAGGCCGCTGCTATCGCATCGCCTGCGCAACGGTCGGAACACCGCGCGCCAGCGGTCACTCGTGCCCAGGATCGCTCTTGTGGCGTGCAGCCGGTCCCCCTCCGATCCTCTGTGGTGGCCGTCTCTCCTCCTTCCTTCCCACCTCCGCCTCGCCTTCGCCGCGTTTTCTGGCGCCCCTGGGAGGCTCTGACCGTGCTTCCTCGGAGGAGAAGGAGGAGGAGGTCAGGAAGAGGATGAGGAGGAGGAAGAGGAGGTCAGGAGGAGGAGGAGGAGGAGGAGGAGGAGGAGAACGAGAAGGAGGAGGAGAAGGAGAAGGAGGAGGAGGAGGAGGAGGAGGAGGAGGGGGAGGAGGAGGAGGGAGGAGGAGGAGGAGGAGGAGGAGGAGGAGGAGGAGGAGGAGAGGAGGAGGAGGGGAGGGAGGAGGAGGAGGGAGAGAAGGAGAGGAGGAGGAGGAGGAGGAGGAGGAGGGAGGGAGGAGGAGGAGGAGGAGGAGGAGGAGGAGGAGGAGGAGGAGGAGGAGGAGGGAGGAGGAGGGAGAGGAGGAGGGAGAGGAGGAGGGAGAGGAGGAGGTGCCCCCTCGCATTGAGCTCTGCGGGCTCTGGCCTGGACCCTCCCGCCTCTCTCCCTTCTTCTTGAGCACGACTGCGCGTCAATGCCACCGTCCGCCGCCGCTGCCGCCTGCCTTCTCCCCCTCGCCGCGGCGCCCCGCCAACGGCCGCGCGCGAGAACGAAGGAGGGGGGTCGAAGGAGAAGAAGCGCCATAAACAGAAACTTTTGGCGCTCCGCCGCGGATCCAAGAAATCCCCCTGGAGCGCCAAAGTTTACGTGTACGGCGTTTTTTCGTCTGGGGGAAGGAGGAGGGCGGAGATTTGTCCAGGGGGCTGCTGGACGGGAGTTGCTGGAAGGAGATCGACTCCCACGCGGAAGTGGTACGCTTCAACGAGATTGTTGGCAACAAGCTGGTGCCGGAGGAGACAGGCGTCAGGAGGGGATGGCCTGCTGTCTGGACGTGGGCGTGAAAGGGACCCAGGGCATTTCTCCTGATCCTCCTGCTCCTGCTCACCACCCCCGCCCTCTGGAGCACTCGAGTGCGAGAAACCACGCGCGAGGGGACGAGACAGGAAACGACGAAGGCGACGAAAAAGTAGTGTGATCACATGTCCAGCCAGCGCACAGTCTCCAGCCAAACGATACTGTCAATAAAACTGAAGGGCCTGCGAGTTTTGTTTCAGCGCGTGCGAAGAAAAACAGTGATCACATGTCCAGCCCGTTCACAACCTCAGGCCAAAGGATACGGGCCCAGTAAACTGAAGGGTCCGCAAGCTAGGCTCAAACATGCGTGACCAAAAACAACGTGGTCACATGTCAAGGCCGACCCACCACGCTTCGGCGCGACCCGCTATCCACTTCTAGCGCCAACTTCCCGGCCCCCCGCCCCGCGGAGCGGAGCGACACGCTATCCCCGTGCACGGCATGGCGTGTCGCCGGGGCCGCCGTCGCGACACGCTGAGCAAGAGTTCCGGACCTCGAGTGCTGCAGAGCCCGCGCGGCGGCGGCGGGCGCCGCAGGGGCGCTGGCAGAGCGACGTGGCAAGAGCGGGCTCGCGTGAGCGCGCAAGTTGCCCGCTTGAGGTGGCGCGTAGGCGCCCTCGCCTACAGGAGGAGGAGGAGGAGGAGGAGGAGGAGGAGGAGGTCTGGAGGTCTGGAGGTCTGGAGGTCTGGAGGTCTGGAGGTCTGGAGGTCTGGAGGTCTGGAGGTCTGGAGGAGGAGGAAGAGCAGGGTGAGGAATAGGAGAAGGAGGAGGAGGAAGAGGGAGGAAGTAGGAGGGAGTAGGTGGGGTGAGGAGGCCGAGAGAGTGGTGGCTTGCCGCGCTGGCGGCCCACGCAAGCCGCCGCGCAAGGTCGCCACGTCGTCGTGCCCGGGACCATGCCCTCGTGGTCCGAGGATCCTGAGGCGTCCCAGAGCTTCCCGGGCTTCTGTTGCTCCCATCGCACTTGAGGACCACATCCAGAAATAATTTCGAGCACCCGGAAAAGTGTCGAAACAGTGTCGGACGAGTGCCTCCCAGGGCCCGACACGTGGAGACCCTCGAGTTTCGGTCCTTTTTCTTTCTGGCGCTCGACAGTCTGTCTGGTGGTCAAGGCTAGAGTCGGTTGGAACATCACGACCCTGGGTCGCAGGTGCAAACTCTCCTATACGCGGACCCTCACTCTGATCCATTAAAGTGTCAGCCTCCGCACGCCGCCTGCTCTCCGGGGAAAGCGCCTGCTGAACTGCAGCACGACGCGCAGCAAGGCGGGCGAGAGTGTCCGGCTTCGACTCCTTGGCGAACTGCGGCTTCTGAACCCCGAAAGTTTGTCTGGTGGTCAAGGCTAGAGTAGGTTGGAACATCACAACCCTGGGTCGACCCAGGGATCCCAGGGATCCCTGGGGCCAGGGATCACTGGGGCCATTGTGGGATCCAGGGACCCAGGGTCGACCCAGGGATCCACAACCCTGGGTCGACCCAGGGATCCCAGGGATCCCAGGGATCACATCCCACAATGGCCCCAGGGGTCCCTGGGGCCCTCGTGGGATGCGGTCGAGAGCTGTGGCCCAGCGCGTCGCGCCGCCAGCTCTGGCCCCCCACGCCTCGGCGCGACGCGCCATCCGCGTCCCCGGCCCCCTAAGCGTCACTGCCTCTCTTCGTCCCCCTCCCCCTCCCCCTCCCCCTCCTCCTCCTCCTCCTCCTCCTCCTCCTCCTCCTCCTCCTCCTCCTCCTCCTCCTCCTCCTCCTCCTCCTCCTCCTCCTCCTCTCCTCCTCCTCCTCCTCTCCTCCTCCTCCTCCTCCTCCTCCTCCTCCTCCTCCTCCTCCTCCTCCTCCTCCTCCTCCTCCTCCTCCTCCTCCTCCCTCGACCCCAGGAGGCGCGTCACGCCTCCCGCCCCGCGGAGCGGAGCGACGCGCACGGCACAGCGCGTCTCCGGGGCCGCCGCCGCGGCACGCGCAGCGAGGGCCCCGACCGCCAGCGGCGTCCGCGGGGCGCCTGCCGGCGGGCGGGTCTCTCGCTCGGCGTGCCTGCGCGGGGGTCCGCAGCCGCTCCGGCCGGGGCCCATGGCTCGAGCGCGGCGGAGCCGGGGCGCCGCGGCGGCGGGCGCCGCGGCCGCGCCGCCGAGATGGGCAAGGGCTGCGGCAAGCGGGGCCCGGCCGGCGGCGCGAGGGGGCGGGGCAGGCAGCCGCGGCGCCAGGGCGCCGACGCCGCCGAGGTGGGCGAGGGCCCGTGCTCGGGCGAGGAGCCCGTCTCGGAGGACGAGCCTGGTGCCGGGGACTCCGAGGCGGGGCTCATGTCGTGTCCTCCGGCTCGATCCGAGGTCGATCGGTGCCGATTCCGAGTCGATGCGGCTTCGGATTCTGGGTTGGGACTTCCGTCTCGCAAAGGAGGCCCTGCAAGCCTGTCGATTTCCGCCGACTCGACTCTCCCGACTCTGCGACCGATTTCCGCCGATCCGATTCGTTTCTCGTCACAGGGGGAAACGGATCCTGAGGGAAACGGGTCCTGATGTTTTTCACCGTTTTCGAAAGCTCCGGTAGAGGGAAACAATTACTGAACACCCCCCCTCTCCTCAATTTTGGCACGCGCGGGGGAGACTGCGGTCGAAGTGCATCTCATCAGACCCACCGCCAACTTTGAACATTGGGGGGAGGGGGAGGCGTTGATGGATGAATGTGGCCTGCGTTCGCAAATTTGTTCCGAGGCCTGTCGGGGCCATCCACGGGCCCCAGGGCTGTCTGGAAACGGCTCGGGATGAACAAGTGATCCTGGAGCGCAGGCCCCAGGGTCCAGGGCCCGTTTCCCTCCGGACCCGCTTCCCCCATGCTAAAGTTAAATCCGGCCTGTCCCTCTACAGGGGGGGTATTCAAAAGCAGTAAAACAAATAGTCTGGGGGCTATTTTGTTAGTATCTTTTGACAACTTCTGAGTATTGTTTGGGTAGTCCTTATTTTCCGTCCGAAAACCCCCTGTAGGGGGACAGGCCCGACCGAAGGCTAAATTTCGATCGCCGATCCGACTCGTCGACTCGATTCTGGGCCCTCCTGCTCCGAGGGGGGGCCCGTGCGCCGCGTGCGCCTGGCCCTCTTCGAGTTCGCCCAGAACGACCCGAAGGCGGACGGCGGGAGCGCGGGGGGGAAGTCGGAAGGAGAAGGCCTCGAAGGCATTTGGCAGTTCATCCCGGACGCACTGACTTTTCAGGACCAATTCGATCTCAGTGATCTGGGCTCGGTTTTTCGACGGCGGGAATTCTCAGAAGCGCTCCGGCCTTCTGAGAAGCTGTTTTGCGTCTTCGGGGCAGGCTCAGAAGACTTCTCAGACGGCCGGTTCCGAGCCTTCTGAGAAGGCCCGTCCCTGTTTTTTTCCCCCCCGGGCTCGCCGCCGAAAGGTGGACAGCGGGAGCAAGATGGCGCGCATGTCGGAGAGGAAAATGCTGCATGAGCACAAAGTTCCGGAGCTCCGCGCGCCTTTCCTGGACCGGCGCCGGGCCCTCCCGGCGGCACCTCTCCGAGGCGGGAGGTTATACATGACCACCGCCTAGAGGGTCAGTTTTGAGAGCCTCGGCAGGCAGTGGATATGGACATAATCGGGCTCCCGGGGGCCGAAATATATCCACATCCACCGCCCGCTGGGACACCAGGACGTCGGTTCCCAGGCCGTGGATATGGATAATTCCCCGCCTCGCAACCTCTGGCTCCGCCAACGGCGCGCGCCGCGCGCCAGGGGAGGGGGGCCCAGCGCCGATGCAGGACATTCGCGCGGAGGCCAGAACAAAAAGGCTTGTGCAGTTGTTCCTCTTCTAGCATGGGCCTCGCCAGGGCCATGAAGCCGAACGCCACTTTCCACGGCATCGTCCTGAGTCCTCTTCCTCCTCCTCCTCCTCCTCCTCCTCCTCCTCCTCCTCCTCCTCCTCCTCCTCCTCCTCCTCCTCCTCGGCATCATCCTGAGCCCCCAGAGCCCGACGCCCGTGTCGGCGCAGGACAGGGAGTGCCTCCTCGCCAACGGCCTCGCCGGCATCAACGCCAGCTGGAACCGCATGGACGAGCTGCCGTGGCAGCGGCTTCGACGGCAGGGCCAGCACCGCATCCTCCCACATCTCGTGGCGGCGAACGCCATCAACTATTCGAAGAAGAAACAGCGCCATGAACATACACTTTTGGCGCTCTGCGCGTTTTTCTTGCATCCGCGCTTGGGCCCCCCTCGGCGGCGCCTCCGGCGCCGCCCCTGGCTCGCTCCGCGCTCCGGCGAGGGGGGCCCAGCGCGGATCCAAGAAATCCGCGCGGAGCGCCAGAAGTTTATGTTCATGGCGTTGTTTCTTCTTCTACGATGGCCGCCCCATGAAGCTGAACACTGCAGAGGCCATGGCCGCCACCCTGCTCATCGCCGGCCTCGACGACGATGCCGCCGCGATCATGCGGTCTTTTCAGTGGGGCGAGGAGTTTTTGAAGATCAACCTCGAGGCTCGGAGGATGGCCAGTCGAGACAACGCTGGCTCAAAATCAGTCCCCAGACCGCTCCCGGGGTCCATCCTGACCCCTGTCGTTTCCAGGCGGTCCCAGCACCGGCGACGAGAACCCTCCAGGAGGCCCAAGGACGAAAACCACGCCAGGCCCAGATCCCGAAAACCCCGGGTTGGCCCCGTGTCACTACCACGCCAATGTGGGACGACTTCCAGGACACGTGCGTTCAGCAGTGATACTGCAGGTCCTCCCCTCCTCCTCCTCCTCCTCCTCCTCCTCCTCCTCCTCCTCCTCCTCCTCCTCCTCCTCCTCCTCCTCCTCCTGCTCTTGCTCCTACTCTGCCTCCGACGCAACACTTCACATTGTTTCACACGCGTGTACCTCAGCAGGCGCCTCGGTGCCCCCTCCGCCGTGCCTTCATGGCGCCACGAGTGCGGAGCCGTGTAGCCGTAGCCATAGTCGACCCCCAGAGGTCTCGACCCATTCTCCCAGGGACCGGCTTCTCATCCTGAGTCGTTTTCTGACGGCCCTGAGGCCCGGCAAGGTTCTCCAGAAGCCAAGAGTGTCAGAACAAATCCCGCCGTGCTTTTTCTAGGACGACGAACAACGACACAAACGTATCATAAGAGCTCGGAGGTCCGCGCGGATTTTTCAGATCGGCGCTGGACCCCCTTCCCTGGCGCGCGGAGCGCCCCAGGGGCGGCGCCGGAGGCGCCGCCCAGGGGGTCCAGCGCCGATCCGAGACATCCGCCCAGACCACCTCCGAGTTTTTATGTGTCTGTCATTGTTCGTCCTTCCTCCTCCTCCCCCTCCTCCTCCTCCTCCTCCTCCTCCTCCTCCACCTCCTCCTCCTCCTCCTCCTCCTCCTCCCCCTCCTCCTTCTCCTCCTCCTTTTTGTTCACGACGCGAGGGGATCGGGGGGGAGTGCCGCCGTCGTCTCGACCGGCCCCCCGGCCGAGAGGCCCTCGCCGCCTATGCGTGCGCCCCCGACGCGGAGGGCGTGCGCCGCCGGGAGGCGGAGCTGCTGTCGCGCCGCTGCGACGAGAGGGCGGCGCGCAAGGCCGACGCGGACCTCGGGGGCAACGAGATAGTCAGTCCGCATACTATTATCGACTAGACGTAAGAGTGACCTTTCGCAGGAGTGACCGTTGGTGCGGGCCCAATGGGGTCCCCCGATCGCTGAACTCGAGGCGGCAGTGGCGTCTTGCGCGCTTGTATTTGGCTACCCCGCGCCCCCCCAAAAGCCGCGCACCAAAGGTTACTCTTACCCCGGGTCACTCTTGCGTGTAGCCGATATTAAATCGGGCATGTCCCTCTACAGGAGGAATCTTCGAAAATAGTCAAAAAGTAGTCTGGGCCCGATTTTTCTACTATGTTTCACCATGTTTGCATATTTGTTTGACTATGTCTTATTTTTCCTCCAAGGTCCGCCTGTGGGAGGACATGCCCGACCTAAGCATAGTACGGATGAGCGACTCTCCAAGGTTACCCTTGCATCCCTCCCCGTCGGCCCATCCTTGGCCACTTCAACTGGCCGCGCCCCGCTCGCAAAGTGTCGGCATGGCCTTCCAAGGCCCTTACATCCTTCTCGTGCGTCCTTGCTGCACGGGCTGACTGTAATTAGGGGTCACGCAGTGGCGTCGTCGTCATCGCCTTCAGGTCCGAGGTTCTGAAACATGTTCGTCGGTTCTCGGCGGCTTCCTGGCCTCGGGGTGCGTTCCAGCAGCTGCGCCTCGCCAGGAGCGTTCCAGGGTGCCCGGATAGTCCCGAACGGCCGCAGGAGAGCCGAGCTAGGACCCGAAAACCAGCAGGCAACGTCGGGGGGGTGGGACAGGCTCAGGCGGTCAACGGAGGGGGTCAAGCAGTGGCGAAGCGCCTTGGCTTGCCTCTGGGCCTGCCAGGGAGTAGTCTAAGAACCCCTCGTTGCTTGCACGACATGTTCTTGGAATCTGTCCGGCTCATGCCGTCTTGATTTAATACATTGGTTTCATGGTTGAAGAATTTGCTTAGGTTATGTAATTGAACGCCCCTGAGGGCGCAGGCACCGCCGCCCCACCATTTTGGGATCCTGGAGACTCTGTGGGAGCGGCGGCGTCTCCGCGCGCGCGAATAGGAGATATTATGGTGCTGGTGCTGATGCTTCCGCTTGGAGGCCTCGTGGGTTCTATGGAGGGGACATTGGGTTCCTCAGCGAGCTCTCTGTCGTATGACCCTGAGCCCAGTACGGCCGCAGAGAGGCTGGAGGAACTGAAAGCAGCGAGCTCTGTGTCGTATGACCCTAAGTCCAGGACGGCCGCAGAGAGGCTGGAGGAACTGAAAAAAAACCGTCGGGCTCGTCCCAGAAAGCGCGCCGAGGAGTGTCTTTCACATGACCCTGAGGCTACGACGGCTGCAGAGAGGCTGAAAACTTGTTTAGATTATTTAATCGTTTCGCTCACTTCGCCGGCCCATGTTGCCTCGCCGCTTGGGGGCCGTGTTGTGGTCTCTTGGGGGCCTCTGAGAGGCAGTGTTGAGGCCTCTTGGAGGCCGTGTTGGGGCGCCCCTTGGGACCACTTGGGGGCCTCTTGGGGGCCCCTTGGGGCCTCTTGGGGGCCTCTTGGGGGCCTCTTGGGGGCCTCTTGGACCTCCTGGGGGCCTCTTGGAGATGAAGGCTGGGCTTTTCGGTTCCTGATCCCCGTCTTGGGCCCCTCTTGGGGCCGTTTTGGGGCCCTCTTGGGCCATCTTGGGCGACTCGTCGGCTGTCTTGGGGCCATCTTCGGCCGTCTTGGGGCCCTCTAGGAAGCTTCTTGGGCCGTCTTGGGCCGGTATTGGGGGCCTCTTGCGCCGTCTTGGAGCGCTGGAAAGCCGAAAAGGCGAGAAGACCAAAATCTTTCAAAAACCATAGCACTATTAACTACTGTAGCCTCTCGGGGCCCTCTTGTGGCTCTCTTGGGAGGCCTCTTGGTGGTCTCTTGTTTAGGTTATGAGAGCAGTTCTTGTTTCGTGGGAGCTCTATAGGCATGCCGGGACGGTCGGTCCCTGCTCGAAGGGGGGACAGGGTATTTTTGCTTAGCGTGTTGCTCCGCCGGTTTTGGCCCACCACGCTGCGGCGCGACACGCTATCCACTGCCCGGTCCCGAAGCGTCCACGTCCCGCAGTTTTCCGACCCCGTTGCGACACATTACTCGCTTGCACGGCATAGCGTTTCGCCGCGGCCGCCGCCGCGACACGCTATGCAAAGCTTCCTGACCGTAGGCTCGGGGGGGGGATGCATCCACCTTCAATCGCCTATGGATCGCCGATAGGGGCCCGATAGCCCACCCCGCCGAGGAGCGCGGTGTCGGTACCGGGGGCCTCTCGCCGATGCATCGGCGATGTATCGCCGATTCCAGGTTGATGGTTCCTCCCCTGTGCCAGTCCGCCACGTTCACTGCCCCGCAGGACCTCGACCTGCCCCCGAGCTGCAGCAGCAGCAGCAGCAGTAGCGGCGGCTCCGCCGACGAGCGGGAAGAATCGGAGGGCCGTGCCGGAAGCGAGGGCGGCGGCGAGGCTGGCCCGCTCCCGCCGGACAAGGAGTGCGAGAACGAGGAGGAGGAGGAGGAGGAGGAGGAGGAGGAGGAGGAGGAGGAGGAGTAGGAGGAGGAGGAGGATTGGACAAGACAGGCTTCGAGCTGCGGGCAGACAGCCCCCCCCAGCTGGCCTCCACAGGCCCCCCGAGCAGCCCCGGCTGGTGTCCCAGCAGGCCCCACGAGCGGTCTGGGGCAGACTCAACGCCTCATTCCCGGGGCGCGGAGCGCCCCAGGGGCGTCGCCAGAGGCGGCGCCAGGGTGCTCAGACCGCCCTGGCAACTCGGGGGACCTGCTGAGGCCAGCCAGGACTACTCGGAGGGCCTATGGAGGCCAGCCGGGACTGCCTGAGGGCGGTCTGCGCGCAACCCGAAGCCTGACCAGTGGAGGCAACGGTAGTTGGCCCTCGGGAGGGGGTGCCTCGTCGCCACGGCCGGCTGCAGCTCGGAAGACTGGTGCGTTCGGACCCTGGTGCGTTTGGACCCTGCCGTGGTGTCTCGGCTCGCCCTGCTCCGAGAGGCTGGCCCGCGCCCGCCGGACGAGGAGGGCGACGAGGATCGGCCACGCGCAGAGGGGGTGTGGGGGGAGGGGGGAGGGCTCCTTGGAAGCACCACTGCTCCTTAGAAGGCGCGGGCCTCATCTATGGATGCAAGGCCGGCGCCTTCTAAGAAGCAGCCTCCTTCTAAGAAGCCCTCCCCCCTCCCCCCCCCACCCCCCTGTGCGCGCCGCCAAGAGGAGGAGGAGGACGGCGAGGAGGAGGACGGCGGGGAGGCCGCCGGCACCGGCTCGTGGCGCGGCGGCCGCAGGCAGGGCCTCGGGCCCTCGGCCTGGGAGCTCTGGCGCGAGGCCAAGGAGGAGGAGCGCAGGGCCCTCGCCCAGAGGCCCGCGGCCGCGGAGGCGCCGCGGCGGCGGCCCGCGCCGGCCGCGGCGGCGCCCGCGGCCGCGGCGCCCGCGGCGTCGCCCGCGGCCACCGGCGCCGCGCCCGCCGCGAAGGGGCCCACGGGCGCCGCGGCGGAGGCCGCGCCTGGCGCAGCGGTGGGCGTGCCAAACTCGGCGGGCGTCGCCGCGCCCGGCGCTGCGGGCATCGCCGCGGACGCGCCCGCGCCCCCGCCCAAGGATTCAGGAGCCACAAGCAGGGGCTGAGGCGAGTGGATCAGCGACGGGTCTCGCTTCCGTACGGGGTCGGCGCGCACCGTGGCCAAATCGGGCGGCATGGACCTCAGGTCTCGGGGGTGTCTTCCCCGATCCATGGATCTGGCGCCAACGCGCCAGGTCCGCGGACACCTATAATCCATGGTGGCGCGTGCCAGAAAGGAGATGAAGGCCACGCTCCTCGCGCTGCAGTCCCTGGCCACGCCCGCCTTCCAGAGGGCCGCCGGCATCGCGGGGCTCAGCGGCAACGCGCTGGCGAAGGTCCTGGGCGGTCGGGACGGGGGCGGGAAGAGTGGGAGCGGAGTCCAGCAGCAGTTCCTGCCAATCCTGGGCAGGACTTGCTGTCAGGGTCCATGTGGACTTTGTCCACCTGGGACGAGCGTCGCCTGCCCAATAGTAACCGCGGTCGGTTTTGGACAACTCTCGCTGCTGGGCACCGTGCCCACCTTTCCGCACCCATCTCGGGCGTCCAAAAAGTTCAAGCGCCCAGAGTTCGAGGCCGTCTGGAGGCTCGGACGTTGCGAAGCGGGGGGGGCCGATAATCAGGGGTGGTGGAAGGGAAGAAAGGTGCACCCTTCGTGCGCCTTCGGGGCCCCAGAGGAGCCCCCGTGGGACCCAGCAGGCATCTAGGAGGCCCTCCTCCACGCTTCACTATCGCCCCCCGACTACGCGGCGCCCGGGAGGCGGTTCTGCGAGGAGGAGGCCGCGGGGCTGAGCGAGGAGCAGGCCCACGCCCTCCTGGCGCCCGCGGCGGCGGCCGGCAGCGCGGCCCAGAAGCCCGGCACGCGGAAGAGGTAGCGCGCGCGCGCGTGGCCGCGCGTGCTCGGCTGGGCACCGCGGCGTCCCCGGCGGTCCCGCATCCCTCAAAAGAGAGGCAGCAGGCGATCGCTTCGGGGGGGGGGAGGGGAAGGAGTCGCAGGGTTTTTGGACGCTTCGGGGGGGAGGGAAGGGAAGAGATCGCACGGTTTTTGTCGACATTTCGTTGGTTCTGCACGGTTTTCCAGCCTCGGGATGTTTTGCAGCAGCTGCGCCTCGCCGAGAGCGTTCGGGGGGTGCCCAGATCGTCCCGAACGGCCGCCAGAAACAACAATTATGGCCCGAGAACCAGACCTCCCCTCGCAGTGAAGAAACAAAGCCGATGTTCGTTGCAACCACGCTGCCCGCTCGATCCTGTAGCAGCCTCACATTCTGGGTCACCCGCTCCGCCAGAGGTAGCTCCAAGACCCGTGCGTGCTTCACTGAGTCGTACAGCAAGGCCGCTGGGATGTCTTCGATCTACCGCCCAGCCCACAAGAAGAATACAGTTTCGTGCATCCCAGCACCGCTGCGGCACTCCGCTGGCGCGCCCTGGGCAACTTCACAGGCGAGCGTCGGAGAGTCGTCCAGCGCCGGCGGGCGTGGCCGGTGGCGCGCTGGGCCTCAGGGTGGGGTATGGTGTCTTGCTGCGGGGGCCGGAAGGACGTCGGCGTTGCTCGTGCTCTTGCGTGTGCCTACAGTCGGCCCTTATTAGTAGGTCGACCCTGCCAGATCAAGGGTGCCCTTGTGTCCTGTGGCTCGCGACCCACTCTGTCTACATTCCTGCGGCGATGCGGCCCTCGAAAGGGTCTGGTGTCCTCTCGCGTGTCCTCTCCAATCAGGCCCGACTGGTACGTGGGCACACGAGGCCCTCTGTGCAGAACATGGCACGAGGGCTCGAAGCAACACTGCAGTCGAGCATCTGATTCAGAGGCCTCCTCCCGACAAACATGTGCCAGCGTTTCTGAACCGACTTGCCAGAAGGCTGGCCCGGTTTCTTGAGCACGTTCGCCCCCTCCAGCGTTGACGACGAAAGCTGGCCCTGGATGGCTTAAGAAACGTCTGGGAAGCTGGCCCAGGTTCCTTGACCGATGGGTCTATGGATCACAGGTTCTGCTGTAGCTCTGCAGGGGCGCACTTGTGCCCTGCATGCCTGGACGTTCCGTCTTGGAGTGTCGAGCGTTTGGGGTATGTCGTGTGTCCGGGGGGGGCCCCGGTCTCTCGGCGAAGGGGCCCGTGTTCTCGATCCACGTGTGTTTGTGGCCATGCTTCGACCGTACGCGTGCGCGCCAGCATCGGAGGCAGGGCCAGCTCCTGAGGCGGAAGGTAGGGTGGCCAGCTGCAAGGGCCCGCCTTCGAGACAGACCGTATGGCAGACCCCCCCCCATCATCGACATGCCTTTCCTTTTTTCCCCCTCCCAGTCACTCCCCATGCCCCTCCCCTTTCCGTCGCTCGCTTTCCCTCCCCTCAATCCTGATCCCCCCCCTCTCCTGTCACGATTCCCCTCCCATCCCTGCCAGCCGGGCCTCTTTTACTCGGGGGCTTCGTGGAGGCATCGTTTGGGCATCTTCGGGGCCGTTCGGGGCCTTCTTGGTGGCATCGGGGAGCAGATTGGGGACCTGCTGTGGGCATTAGGGCCGCCTTGGGACGGGAGGTGGTCCCGTGGTCCGTTCGTGGACCCCTCTTGGGGAGCCCTTCCGCTCTCCCTCCATCCGGGCCAGCCACAGGGGGTCGGAGGATCGCGCCGAGTCGCCGATGCACCGGCGATGCGGCTCGACGTGGAGCCCGATTTTCTCAGCGCTGATGGCGCCAATGCATCGCCGTCGTCGCGATGCGATCTTCTGACCCCATCTGCTCGGACCTCATTTGGGAGGCCGCCGCCACTCCAACTCCCCCCCCACCCGTGGGACTCCTGCCAGGGTAGGAAGGCGGGGGGGGGCGACAGGACTTCGGTGCACGTCATGTGCTCCAAGGTGGCGCCGCTCCAGGACCCAGCGGTCCTCGAGAGGATGGGAATTGGGCGTCGCGTAATGGGAGGACGATAAATGGGGGGGGCAGCGAGGGCTGAGGAAAGGAGGTCCTTTAGGGCCCAAAAAAGGGAGCCTTTAGGGCCCAAGAGGTGCACCTCTCTTCCCCCCCTCCATCCAGCGCCCCCCATTCATCGACGCCCCAGGAAAGGAGGAGGAGCAGGAGGAGCAGCACACTGGGACCAGCGGAGCGGGAGGTGAGGGACGAGGGCTGTGCTGTATGAATGTTTTTTGTGTTTGCCCCACCCCCTCTGCCCCGCAGTTCACGCGCAGACGCTTCGGAGCTTGTCCCCTCAGCGAGTGCAGCAGCAGGAGGAGCAGGAGGACATGGCGGAGGATGTGAAAGGCTACGGGAGAGCAGGAGGAGAGCAGCGCTTCAGCAGGATAGGGAGGTGCGAGGGTCAACGCAGAGGGGCGCCCCTCCAGGACACGGCGGTCCTCGAGATCGACTTGGAGACGGACACGGCGTGGAGAACCTACTGCGGGAGGATGCACACCGGCGGTGAGCCTCGGGATAACGCTCGCCCGCCACGGACGAGAATCGTTGCGCGATATCCGACCCCGAGACAGACTTCTGGCTCGGCTCTGGAGGTCGCCGCGGCGATCGCGCTGGCCACAAATCGGGGCAAGGCTTTTGTCAAGGAGTGGCACGCCCCTTACCAGCCTCCCCCCGCTCTGCGATGCAGACGTGGCTTATACTTGACCATGCAGCGACAGAGAGTCGTCAGTGTATGGCCAACATGTGCAGGCCTGTTCTTGATGGCCAGGGGCCAGTGATCACGCAACCAGAGCAGCGCGCTCCGCGGGAAACGGGCCCCAGACCCTGGGGGGCGCTTCCCTGCCGAGCCGTCCTCGGACGGCCCCCAGGCGCGGGAGGGCCCCACGGGGGCCCGAGAAGGGCCGCGCCGAGAACGAGGGCTCGAGAACGGAGGGCCTACGGGGGCGCGAGAACGGAGGCCCCGAGAAGGGGGCCCCGAGAAGGGGGCCCGAGAACGCAGGGCCCGCAGGGGCCCGTTCTCCCAGGCCCCGCTCCCTCCCTGCCAGACTGGCGGCTCGCCCGGGGTCCGCCCTCGGGCGCCTGCCAATCGAGCACCTGGTAAGGCTGCGGACTGCGCGCAGACGGCCCCCCGAGGTGGTCCCGGCTGGCTTTCACAGGGCCCTCGAGTAGTCCTGGGCGGCATCAACACCCTAACCCTGGCGCCGCCAGCGGTGCCCCTGGAGCACTCCGCGCCCCCCAAGGTCAGGGTGTTGAGAACGCCCCGGTCTGCTTGGGGGGTGGGGGGCCTGCTGAGGCCAGCTGGGGCTACTCGAGGGGCCTGTTGAGGCCAGCCGGGACTGCCTCGGGGGGGGGGCTGTCTGCGCGCAACCCAAAGCCTTACCAAACGAGCACGGGTCGACGAGTGGACGGACTGTTGTTTCAAGCCAGGGGCATATGCAGCACGCGTCGCCAACAACGATCACAGCAGATGGACGCGACGGGCGTGTTTGGATCCAGACTTACACGACCTACGCCCAGCGTTTCGCAGACAGGAAGGACAGAGAAAGACTTGGGTGAACGACATTGCTTCTTTTCTGCATACAGCGGCCGACGCCGACGAAGACGCACAATGGTGGGACCTGGCCCAGAACTGCACCTGGTGGACGAGTTAGGGCGCCGACCTTCTGGAACGCATGCGTTGCTTCGCCCATTCCCACAGCACTGCGTGAGCCTTCTGGCGCTCTGGCGCTCCCGCCATGCTCTTGTGGGGCCGCCCACCCACCCCCTGGGGCGTCGACTGGCGCCTCGCCTCGCCTCGTCTCGCCGTGACCCCCCCCCCTCCCTGTTGATCCACAGCGCCAGCACCCCGAGCCCTCTCGCCGAGCAGCTTCGTGGCTTCACGTGGCCTCGGGAGGTGCTGCTCAGAGGGGCCCCCGCCGGCCCGCCGAGGTGCGAAGAGGACACGGGATGCTGGCCCTTGCCACGCTACCCCCTCTAATCCCTCGCCTCTCCCTGCTCCACGCAGTCCTCGCCTCCCCTCCTTCCTCTCCGCTACCCCTCAGGTCCGCCGCCCCCTCAGTCCCACTCTGCCCCTCCACGCCCGCTTCCCTTCGGCTGGCCCCCTTCAAGCCTGGAGCTGTCCGTGGGCGATCTCGTGCTTCTCGCGGCGCTAGGCGCCAATATTGTTGCCCCAGGTGAGTTCGCCAACATCACTGACAGGCCGCGAACGGAGGAGGAGGAGGAGGAGGAGGAGGAGGAGGAAGAGCATCAACGATGTTGCAACAAACCCTCCCTCCAAGTTCCCTCTTCACAGGCCCCTACGAGGATTCACTTTCACTGAAGGAAATGCCACGTTGGAAGACAACCTTTTGAAAATCCTGAGAAACACCATTCTGGTGACTTCAACGCCGCGAATCACTATTACTGGCGCAACTTGACGATCCTGAACCTTGCCAAAACATCATTCCTGGGACATCAACACCGCGAATAAACGTAAATGTTGCGCCCCGACAATCCGACATCGTGCCAAAACACAATGCCAGGCACGTTGACCATGAGAATCCTTGAAATTTCTGTAAGACATTACAACGAATGCACGCGGCGCTAAGGCGAGAGCCACATTTCGAAAAGGAACCGCCATTTATCCATGAAGCTCTTGCAATGTTGGAAGACGTATGTGATGGCGGGAGCCACATTTGGAAAACCACCCGCCCTCCATCCGTGAAGCTGTTGCGAATCCTAGAATTCAGGATCATAAGCGGCGAGGAAGTCCCAGGCGGAACGCCCGGCCCCCCCTTGCGACCAACCGTGGGGTGCCGCGGGGAGAAGTTATGTAAAGGAAAAGGACTGAGGAGCAGGGACAGCTCACTGGCCGAAGTTCGCCCAACTTAAAAATGGAGGAGCAGGGGAGGGGCCGTTACCTTCTGCTCGCTGGTGATTTGGATGTCGCTTGAAAATTGCTTCGACATCCAGTGTTGGCGGCAGTCTGGTGTTTCCCATCCAGGCGCTCCCACTTGGGACCGTACTATCCGAAAGACGCCCAGCGACGTGCAAGAATGCTTGCGATCGGCACTGCCGATTCCCAGTCCACAAGCAGTAAGACAACACGTGATCCCCAAACAGACGTATACGTTGTATCGCGACCGAGGCCGTCGTGCTACAGTTAGAGACCATCGCAAGAGGTGAGCAAGTTGGTCTCTCGATGCTTCGTCACCGCTAACAGCCGCAACTCTACCCCCAGAGCGCAACGCAGCGACAGTCTCCGCCGACTGCCCGCCACGGACAGATGGAGCACCATGCGCTGTCCAAGATTCCCAACCCCGATGCCACAAGTACGGTAGGTTCGGGCCGTGCCGACGTGGCGACGGTCCCAGCTCGGGCGTGCAAGGTTGAATGCCGCAAGCGGCCCAGAATCGGCCAATGAGGAATGATCTGGCGAGCGAAAAGCAGCCGATCGTTCAAGGATGAACGATCCACGCGGTGTCAGAGACCAACGCCGAAGTCGTCACGACACGAATGTGCCGTGCCTCAACTGTCAGTCAGGCCTCGCCTAGCCTTCCATACCTGACCCATGGAGCCGATCACTGACGGCCTGCTGACCTCCGCCGACAGTCCAACACCAACTGGGATGCAAAAGCTAAACATGAAAAAAACGTCACCTGACAGGAGGAGGAGGAGGAGGAGGAGGAGAAGGATGAGGTAGAGGAGGGGGGAGGAAGAAGAGGGAAGGAGGAAGAAAAGCAGGAGGAGGAGGGGAGGAGGAGGAGGAGGAGGAGGAGTGGGAGGAGGAGGGGATGGGGGCTCGCTGGCATCACCCGAAGGCCGCTGATGATCAGACCGAGCGCGCACTGCGTGATCAGCGCAGGCCACATGCAGAGCTGGACACGGGGGTTCTTGTTCTACTGGTTCGTAGGCGCGCCACGGATCCGAGAAGGGGGGCGGAATTGGGAACAAGAGTGAGTGAGAGAGTGGACTGACCGAGTCTCATATGATAGTTGAGCGAGTGCACGAAGTATTCAGGAGGAGCCCTAGGAGGAGGACGTGGAGTACCCAGGTGGAGGAGGACGACGCGAATGGATGTTCGCGAATACGGCATACGCCTATATACGTTCTCTCGGCGCCCCCGCCGCGCGGTCGGCGCCCCTCTACCTGAACGCTGGCGGATGCGCGTGATTGCCCTTTAGGCGTTCATGCACATCATCTCTGTGCGGAAGGAACGGGGTGGGAGGAGGAGCAGGATGAAGGCTGGAGGTGGAAGCAGAGGGAGGAGGGCGGAAAGACAGGGGGAGGGAGGCATGAGGGAGAACTACAAGAGGGAAGTCGGAACAGGGAGGGTGGAGGAGCACGCTACCGAGGCCAGTGTACTTTCAGGCTGAGTCGGACACTTTCGTCGCTGGAGCTCTTGCGTGCGAACGGCACGGGCCCCGGGCAGCAAGGGAAATCTAGGCACCGCCCGCGAATGGTTCGGTTCCAAGCCCATCATATCAGATGTTAGCCAGCGCGGGGTCCAAGCAGTGTGCTTCTAGCTAAAAGCGTTGTACAATCTAGGAGGAGTTATCTGTAGTGATATAGGTGTGGTGCAATATCTGTTGCGCAACGATTGTGCAACATACGTTGCGCAATACATGTAGTGCAATCGATTTGTTGTTCTCCACCCAGCCGACCTTGAAGTTGTCAACTCCACTGCCCGCGAAATCATCCCACCCACCTGCCCGCAACTTGGTTTGCAAACCCCATGCGGCGACGATTGCGATGACTGCTCGGCGCTGGCTGCCACGTCGCTGCGGCCGCGCTAGCGCGCGCAGGCTCGCGCGTTGAGCTGCCAGCTAGTCTGGCGCGACCAACGCGGCCGCGGTGGCGCTGACCGCTGGGGACTTCCAGCGCGTCTCGCAGGCCGCGCTGGCGCGCGGGTACTTCAGTGCAAATCGGTGATTCGGGCGGCCGCGGTATCATGGCGACGTCGGCAACGGCAAACACGATGATGATAGTGGCGATGCTAGTGGAGATGGTAGCAATGACGACGGCAAGGCCAATGACGGTGCCGATGCTGATCACCCCGGTGACGGTGATGGTGTCCACGAATGGGCGATGAAGGTCGTGAAAAGGATTTCGACATGCGCGCGCGGCCGACGGGCGCGAGTGGCCCACATGGTATCAGTTGACAAAAATCGCCCCCACCCTCCCCGAGCGCGCGCAATGGCCTGCGCGCGCGAAGGGCCCGCTTGGTCACATGCGAAGAAATGTTTAAGGGTCATTAGAGGAAAGCGCATGGACCCCAAGAGATTCCAAGAGCGCCCGCACCTACCTTTTTGTTACAAAAGCACGTTGCAAACCCATGTGGTTGATTTGTCTGCGGAAACCGCGATATTATCGTCACTGCGAGACCGAAGGTGTTGAAGGATGCCGGCATGCGCGAGACGACGCACGCGTGTGTGCACATCGTGTCATGTGTTGCAGGGGGTCCTTGTAATTTGATGGAGTTTGATCAACGAGTGCGTGTGGATTGTATCATTAGACAACAAAGGAGGGTCGATACCGGCTTGGCTGCGATGATATGGCCTGAGAGTTCGAATGAACGATTGGGCAGAAGCATATACGCATTGGACATCCCTCGAGGGAATTGGTAACCCCAGCCTCTACGGGGGTGATCGATCCCAGCTTTTTTGTTCGGAGATACGGTGTGCAATACATGTTGGGCAATGTTCGTTGTGCAATATACGTGGTGCAATTTATGCGGTGCAAGATAGGTGAGGCAAAATCTGTTGTACAATCTGCGTGGTGCACTCCACGCGGGGCAATCTATGCGGTGCCATCTATGCTGGGTTATCTTAGCGGCGACGGGGCGGCGACGAGGCGGCGACAGCGACACGAAGCCGCCAGACGACGAGGCGGCGACGAGGCGGCGACGGGGCGGCGACGGCGAGCACAGAGCCGTTAGACCGCCAGCCAGGCCCAGACAACGGGCGGCGATGAGGCAGCGACGGGTCGTCGAGCACGGAACCGCCAGACCGAGATTCAGGGCCAGTGCTTCAGAAGAGAGCTAAGAACCCAAAAGTGCAAGCGCTGTTTGGGAAATGCAGTTCTCGAGACGGAGATTCGATATCGCTTCCCAAAGTTATCGATATGTTTACTGTGGCCAGTGGAAGACAGAGCCCTAATACCTGATCGATACCACTGGGTTTACTACTGGTCTTTCCCGCGAGTTTGGGACAGTCTCGAGTGAATTTGACTGCTCAAGGAAAGAAACTTCAATACCTCAATTCCAGGAAGAGACAGCTGCACGTGCTCGACACCACTGCTGCTTTCGAGCGCTGGGAGATCCCCGCGCCTTGAGGGAACCGCGACCCAGGCGCAAGTCTGTGGAGGGCAGCCGCAGCACAGCCAGCGCACACTACGCCACCATGCGGAGTCTTAAGATTGGTGGACTACTTCTGCGCCGTTAGATTATTCGCGCGGTGTTCGTGCAAGCGAGGTACGGGTCCCACCGCATGGGCCCAGCATTCCGAGGCACTTGTCGTACGCTTTAGGCGCTCCATGCTGCAGACACGTGGGGCGGTGTCCGCCAGATGCCCCGAAGTTGACGCGATACTGGCTGAGGAAGATCTGCGTCGCACCGCGTATAAGTTGAACTGGCGAGATTGATGCGGCAAGTTTAGCACAGTGGGTCGCACACAACATGTATGCTACCTTCGCGAACCAGGTAGATGTGCAAGAAGAGCATCGCCAAACATTCACACCTTGAGGCCGGAGAGAGTGCAAGCGTGAATCTGTAGACGGAGATGCGTGTCGTAAGAGGGCCCGCGAACACGACCTTCACGACTGCCCATTTCATCACAAGGCTGTCGACTTGGATGGGGAGCTGGACAGGGAGCACCGAGAGCACTGTTCGACGACCCGCCTCCATATTTGACAGCCAGTCAGCGCACTGCATACCAAAAGAGTCGTGCACCATTGTTGTGCGTCGTTGCGACACAGTCAAGTGTTTACTCCAGTATGTGTGGTGTGCCATCTGTATGCGCACACATATGTCGCATTCACATACAAATACATGCGTACAGGCACACATGTATTACAGTATTACACTACAACATGTTTGGGCACCCCTTCGTCAGCAGCCACGTCTGATCACATGGCGCTGGCACCACGGTAACATGCTGGTGGATTGATGAAGTACACGGTTGGCATCATCACCGATTGTCTCAATAAGTGGGTTTATCATTTTCATGATCGAACTGAGTTCACTGCCATTTTCCTTGCGACGTCCGACGGCGGCGCGCAAAACTATGATTGATCGGCCGCGGGCTGCGCAGTGGCGGCTAGCAAAGACGCTGGTAGATTTGTCTCCGTCATATAGAGCGAACGCGATATAGTTCCACCTAGGGTTTCAATGCAGAGGCTTTGCTATTTCAGGTTCGCGCGCGGTTCGTGAGTTGGTCGCCCGCTGCGAAGACGGGCTATGTGGTCAGCGCCCGAGAAATCTAGTCGGTTGGCCATCGGGCATCTCGTCGCTTCTCTACGTGGGAGTTGTTGAGCGGGTCGGCGTCAGGGGTGTCAGGACAGGTCCGTAAGCTGAAGGCGGCCTGACCGCACGCTGGGGACCCGTGATGCGGAAAGGAGGAGAAGAAGGCAGAGCAGCAGAGAGGATGAGGAGGAGGAGGAGGAGGGAAGGGAGAGGAGGCTGCAGTGGGAGGGAAAGGGCAGGGGGGCAACGGAGAAGGGGGGAAAGAGAACAGTGAGGACGGTGGAGTGGGAGGAGTGGGCAGGGGGAGCGCGGGGCGGAACGAGGGAGGGGCACAGAAAGAGAAAGAAAGAAGGGAGGCGGAGGGGGGGAAAGAGGGCGGACAGGGGAAGGGGGGAAGAGGCAATGGGGAAGTGGGGTAACATCGACAGGGGAAAGGTGCAGGGGAATGGTGGAACAGGTGAAGGGGGAAGGGGGAACGAGCCTTGAGAAAGGACGAAGTGGAGGGTGAAGGGGGAAACGAGGAAGGGGCAAGGGAGAGGGCGAAAGGAGCGCGAAGGTGGAGGGGGCAGGGAAGGGGAGAGAGGCAAGGGGAAAAGCGAAAGGGTGAAGCGGCAGGAAGGTGGAGAGGGGAGGGGGGAATGAGGAGAAGGAATAAGGGGGAAATGAAGGGGGGGAGAAGGAATAAGGGGAGAAGGAAGGGGAGGGGAGAAGGAATAAGGGGAGGGGAGGGGGGGGAGAGGGAATAAGGAGAAAGGTTTCAGGGCCACAACCTTCTCATGATAAAGGTCTGGGAGGAGGTGGTTGCGAGGGTGAGCGCGGTTGGGTGGGTGATGGCGTGCGTCATGCGTGGAGTTTATGTTTTGGCGGGGTTGGATTCTGCATGCAGGAAGTGCCCAAGTCAGCCTGGCACTAACGATCTAAGGCAGCAGCAGTCGTGTGCCTTGACAGGGTTTTGCCCCAGCCGGGCCAAGCAATACAAGGGATGGACGAGCTCTGACGGAAGGAGTCTCACTCCAGTTGACTTCCCCAGCTTGATACGGGCCTCAAGAAAGGCAGTCTTGGTTTTTGGGGAGAGCGAACCAGACGTTTTGATGGTTTGTCGGGCCCACTTGGGGCGAACGTTGGGATGCCCCACAGCTCCTTTCCATGTTCGGAGTCCGCGGTCCCGCCAGCCAGATCGACACCCAAGGAGGCAGTCAAGGCTAGCCGTGCGTTGCCTGTTAGGGGAGTTCGGCACTGACGAACTCGTCCGATGTGCATCTTATAACATTCGTTGAGAAAGGAATCCGAGAAACACTAGGAGGGCGAAGAGGGAATGACTGGGCAAGGGGAACTGGGAAGTGCGATCGGGGAGGGGGCACGAGGAAAGGAGACTGGGGAAAGGGTTGGGGGGAACAGGAGCGGGAAGGGGATTGGGGCGTGAGGGGGGCAACTAGATGAGCAAAATAGGAAGGTGGAGAAAGAGGGGAGGGGGGAGGAAGAAGAGCACGAGGAGCAGGACGAGGAGGAAAGCAGTGAGAGGGGGAGGGGCAGCAAAGGGACGGAAATGAACACGAGGCGCGGGCCAGGAGGAGACGAAGGAGTGCGGGCGGAGAGGCTGGGTGCAGGTGGCGGGGGACAGTCCAGCGGTTGTGCTTAGAAGTCTGGGAACGCAGTAGTACGAGTCGTTGGCAGGTCGGGCGTGCCAATGGTGTCGACATCGACGTCGAAGCTACAGAGACACTTGTTGTGCATAACGTTTCAAGGTGGAGGGGGAATGTGGGTCATCACCATTTGATAAGGTGAACCAGCGGCACAGGATTGTGTCATTCCGCCGCCCCCCAGCGGAGCGATTTCGTGGCGATGCCGTGTGCCAGACAGAAAGCCACTGCCATTCTGTAGCAATCTTGGTAGCCAGCTAGAGGCCTTCCTGGCAATATTGGGGCCGTCGGTGCGCTTTGGGGGATCATGTGGTCACTCTGGGGGGTCTCAGGGCCGTCTGGGGCGTCGAGGCGTTGTCTTCGAGCGATCTTGAGCCATCCGGGAGACGTCCTGGGGCCGTCTTGGAGGCCAGGTGGGTTCCCCGAGGGAATCTTGGTGCCATAGTCAGCGAGACTCTCCTGAAGACCTGAGCTGTCTGAGGAACTCTTGGGGCCTCGTGGACCCTCTCAGAGGCCTCTGGAGATCATCATGCGGCCATCTTGAGCATCGAAGGGGGAACGACCAGAAACATAAAAGAACGCTGCAGAATCTTGACGATTGTTGTATTTGGGGGGCCTTCCGCCAGGCCACCTTGGAGCCCCTTGGGCTCCTCGAGGCCAGACGGCAGCCGCCGTGAACGTCATCGCGTTCTATCTTCGGCCATCTCGGACGATCTACTTGGCGAGCAGTTTGGGGAGCCCCTGGGGAGGGCCCAGCCTGGTCGATGATGTCAAGAGGCACCACCTGAAATTGGGTTATGGATCTCCAGAGGGGCGAGAAAACGGGAGCTCAGGGGCCAGGAAACCAAGACATTGCAAGTCAGGGTTTTCGCCAGATCGAGCGGGAGCACAAGGAGGATGGTTAAGGTTTTGGCCCGCAGCTTTAGTTTTCTCGGGCGTGCCAACGTCCTGGTTCAGCGAAGTCCACGTTCACGGGGCCTTGAGGAATGGAGACAGTCAATCATCTCACACGCTGCCCCACTCCTGGCAAGCATCGGCCGTACCAAGTAGCCCGACCTTGCTCCCGAAGTCCTTTACCACAGGAATCTCTGCGGGGTAGAATACGCTTGGGGCGTTGGTTGAGGAACATCGTATATCCATGAGGCTTGAGACCGTGGGTGATGCATCTTCTGACGAGGGCGGCGGTGACATCCATGGCCAATCAATTTTGCTGTGTTGCATTTTGCTTCGTTGAAGTTTGCTGTGATGCATGTTGCTGTGTTGGCTGCATTTTTTTTGATGCACCATCAGAGTTGTCGCAATATTTGGGCCCCGATTGGAGTTCTACTGGCTTCCAGACCCTGGGTTCATTGTCGAGTGGTTCCTTATCCAAAGCCCCCGTTGTAGTCATCTCACGGCCAGGCCGACTGTTCAGCAACGCGGACTTCTACGGCTTCAGCGGCAACGGAGAGCGGGGGGCCGCCGGGCGGGAGCGCAGGGGGCGGGGGGGCCCGTGCGAGGTTCGCAGTGGTGGGCCCGGCCCCCAGCTGGGCAGCCGGGGCCAGCAGCAGTCGAAGGAGAGCCCGCCATAAAACGACGCGAAGATCGGGACAAAATCGGATCGGGATAACTCGAAATCTCTGAGACTCGACAGGTTTGGAGGATGTACTGGGCGCCGCGGCCGCTCCAGGGCGTTCCGGAACGCTCTGAGAGCGCTCCGGAACGCTCTGGAGCGATTTATCCCGATGCCAGCCCTGTCTTACGCCAGGTTCGAGAGGGTGGGCCTGCGAAGGTGGGACAATTCTGTCGGAGGTCGGGCGGTGAGGCCGAGATGAGACGGAGTGCCCTCGACAGGAAATTCGGTTTCGGGCTCGGCTCGTGCCGTGCACGCGGGCGGGGCGGCGCCGCGCAGGAGCTCGGAGGAGTGTATATATACACCAATCCATTCCCCGGGTGTAGAATTTATAGCAGTTTTTTTTTTCGGTGCCGCTTGTTTTCCATTGCTTTTTCGTTTACATGTGCTTCATTTTCCCTCTGCTGCACCGCGCGTCTTCCTCCTCATTTACCCACCTCCCCCCGCCCCCCTCCGCTCGCAGCCGCGTCCGCTGCGTTGCCTGCTGCATGCTGCTGGTGGACCGTCGTTACCATCCGCTGCCGTTGCTGCGAACGTCGTGATCAGTTCGGTAATCCCCTCGCACGGATCGTGCCCCATATGAAGCTTCATCGACCATCCTGGCAGGGGCGTACTTAAAGTGTCTCCGCGCTCATTTCGGCACGCCCCCCAGCGCGGACTGCAGCCCGCAATGGGCTCCACCCGCAGGCTCAAGGGGGGCGCCCCCAAAGCTTATCCGCAACCACTGCGGCACGCCTTTCCCGCGGCTCGCGCCACTGATGGAATTTCGCCTACGGCCGTCGCGGGGGCGCTCCAAGTGCGCCTCCATGCCCGCGTCGGCACGCCCCTCGCGAAGATCGCGCCCATACAGTTGTGGCCCCATTTGGAATTCCCATGGCGTCTCCGCTCCCGTTTTTGGCACGCCTTTTCAAGCGGATGGCGCCCCACAAGGAGCGCCGCGTACAAGCCCAGTAAGGGCAGTCATATTTGCGCATGGCGTAATCGTGCAAATGTCTGCTTGCGTTTGAACAGATCGTGCTCCGCATGGCGGCTCCGCGCACGGCCCTGGCGCGGAGGCCCCCCCCCCGGCTATGTCGTCGCACCTTTCAATCAGGTTGTGCTCCCTGTGGAGCTTCACCTGCAGTCCCAGCGGGGGCGTCCGCATGCGGTCGCCCACTTTCCATGGCCACGGGGGACTATGCAAAATCCGGAAACTATAGGAGAAAAATCAAGGCCCGATTGGTGTATAAAATTTCGGGACGACGAAAATTTCGGAATGTATCAGGCAGAACGGCCCGCCGAAATTTTATACACCGATCAGGCCATAGGAATTCGCCCTATGAGCCTCCCAGAATTTCTGTGGCCCCGGTGACCCGGGGCTTCGCTCCCAGCCACCGATAGAACCGGCCACAGGCAGGCCGTGGCAGGCGGTGGTGCCCCATTTGTGTAGGATTGGAAACCACATCACAATACCTTGACGCTCCGTTTTCGTTTTTTAGGGGGTTAGAGGGGACGGAGAGGGCGGCAGGGATACGGGGCCTGGATGGAGCGATTGGGGGGGGGGATCGGGGCAGAGACGGGTGGGGAGTGAGAGGGAAAGGGAGGGGCTGGCGGGCGCAGGGAACGGGAGTGGGAGCGGGGAGTTCCGAGCGAAAGGCATGGGAGCGGGGAGGGAGATGGGTGAACGGACAGTGGGGGGTGGAGGAACGCAGGGGGGGGGAGGGAAGGAGTCTGTGAACGGAGACGGAGGCTGGAGGCGAGGTCGTGGCGGGGTCAATGGGGGGGCGATGGTGAGTTGGGAAGGGAGGGAGGGTGATCGTGGGGACGCGGGCCCGTCGCCCATATTTGGCTCAAACCCCCTTGGCGGCATCATTTCCAATCGGGCCAGAGTTTGTACTCCTCCCCTCCCCAATGTGGTGGATGGGTTGGGGTGCTGGCGAGCAGGCCCGCGCGCGTTCCCCGGCCAGCGCGCGGCCCTGTTTAAATTTTCTCGCGTGCCCGGCTACGGGCACGCATTCATGGCCTCGTAACGAGGCACCCCTCGCCTAGAGACGGCATCACCACCATGGGCGGCGGTTTTCCGCCATGGGTGCCGGGGCCGCTGCGGCCTTGCCCGCCCCTGGACAAACGCGCCCAGGCGGGGCGCATGGCGCTTGCTCCCTCTATCGGCCACTGCGCCAAAACCGCTTTGGCCCAACACTCAAAACAAAAATCGGCCCGAACAGGTCGGTGTATATACACACGCCTCCCAGGAGCCAAGGCGCGCGAGGCTCTACGCGCGGGCTCGCCGATCTGCACGTCGGTTCCATCGTCGTTCCTGGTTTGCTCGGAGCCGACGTGCACAAGTGTCTGGGGTTCGCGTCACGTCGTGCTGAGTCAAAGCAGTCACGTCGTGCTGAGACAAAGCAGGAGAATTGACCTTGTCACTTCTGGGGCCAAGTCGGTCAGATGATCTACCCCCACCTCCCAGGAGCCGCTTCGAGTCGATCGATCTTGTTCGATCCCGCTCATACCGAATATGCAACCCTGCCGATACGATGTGTTTTTTGATTGTCCAATGTTTTTCGACACGGCTTGCTGGGAGCCGATGTTCTGTCTCGGACGAATCGAGTCCGTGAGATTCCGATATGTTCCCTTTGGCCACCGGTTCGAATCGACCCGATTTCGTTTCGCCTTTTCTTTTGCGCGATTTCTTTATTGGCGCGTGGGTTGACCGCGTCTTCCACTGAGAAAGAAACTTCTCCCCGCATCTTCCGTACTGCCCTCCCCCCTCAGCCCACGAAGATCATCAGCGCTTCGTCAGGACGGGGGGAAGGGCTAGATGGGGGAAGGCGAGGGAGAGATGGGAGAGCGGGAGGGGGGGGGGGGGGCCAGAGGCGGTGCCCGGAGAAGGCGCTCGCAGGGGGGGGGGGGGGGCGGCAGGAGGGGGGGCCCAGCCCGCAGGGGGGGGGGGCCGCAGGGGGAGCCCGCAGGGGAGGCCCCGAGGAAGGGGGCCCCTCAGGGGGAGCGGCCCGGAGGGCGAGCCCCCCTCGCGCCAGGCCCTCGTGGGCGCCGCCAGCTCTTCGCTGGAACTTTCCAGCGCAGAGGCGCCAGCGACGTTCGGCATGCTGTCTGGGCGTCCCAGGAAGGATCTTGCCTTCGAGGGATGGAGAAGTTGGCAGCTCTTCCTCGGCGGGAGGCGGCGGAAGTGAAGCGGCGGCGAGTCCGTCGGCGGAAGCCAGCGACAGCAAACATCGGCATTCCAAGAGGTGTGGGATGCAGAGCTACCAGCATGAGCCAGCGGAGCGGCTGGAGGACACTACAACAACCCGCAGCCGATCTGGGAGAAGTGGCTTCCGTTTGAGCACCTCTTCTACCAGGCGTGCGCTCTGTTAGTCGAAGTGAGTTTCCATGGGCGGGCTGTCTGCACGGGTCTGTGCCTTTGTTCTGCGGCACGCGTGAGTTCCTCCGGATCCGGAACCGGTGGCGTGTGGCCTCTCGTACGGCTTCCCGTAAGGTCCCCGTTTTGGTCTCCCAGATGGTCTCCTTCACGGTCTCCCGTATGGTTCTCCCTGGTGGTCTCCCGCATGGTATTTCGTATGGTCCCCCGGTTGGTTTTTTGGCAAGGTCTTCCGTATGATCTCCCGTGTGGTCTTTGATGTGGTCTCCCGGAAGGTTTCCAGTATGGTCGCCCGTATGACCTCTCGTGTGGTCTCCAGTGTAGTCTCTCATGTGGTGTCCCCCGTTCTCGCCCGTATGATCTCTCATGTGGTCTCCCAAGTGGTTTGCCGCACGTTCTCTCGGAGTTTCTCCCGCATGGTCTCCCGTATGTTGTCCCATATGGTCTCCCGTATGGTACACCGCTTGGTCTCCCGGGTGATCTCCCCTAGGCTATCCCGTATGGTTTCCCTCATGGTCTCCCGTATGGTCACCCGTATGTTCTGCCGTCTGGTCTTCTGTTGTACAGTACAGTACAATGATGGTTTTACTATTGGATTATGTTGTTCAGGGTATTAGGCCGCCAGGGTGTAATTAGGTTTGGACCTCTAGTGTCTGACATATCGATATGGTGGATGGTTGTTGTGATGCTGTGCTTTTGTCCAGACCTGTTTCACATTCTTATTATTATTATCATTGGTTGCATTGTCAAGTCATCGTCTCTTCTACCATGACCGTCCGATTCGCCCATCTCCTCATCGTGTTTCAGTTAATACGATCCACCTCGGTATTAGTTGTCGCATTCCATATGTTACGTCTGCTTGCCCTGGCAACGAATGCATCTGGATGCAGGCCTAGCGATTGAACGAAGTTGAAGCACAACAATTCCAGGCAAGACATGCGGCGACACCCTGATCAAATTCACAGGGTCTTCAAGATATTGCATGTAGTTGTTTGTGCCCCTCTCGTAGGAATTATCTCACGTACCGATCTTGCCAAGAGGGACTGATCGCCAACGAGAGAACCATGCGCCGCCGCAACAGGTTAACCAAGTGGCCCGCCATTGAGTTCTACAAGAGTACTACCTTGAGATGGAGCGAGGCGATGACACAAGCTTGATGGATCAAAAGGAAGCGTTTGGGAATGAAGCGAGGGAGGCACAGAGTGGACTCGTGGGAGGTCAGGCGGGCTGGACTTGATCTTGAAGGTCGGAGACCGTCAGAGCGGGGTGTTGGTGGGCATTGCGTTATTCCGCCGCTTGTCTGGAGTTAGTGGGTTCCCTTTCTCTTGGACTCGTCTGCGGGATAGGTTGGCTTTTGGTGGGGATTGTTCGATCCGCGCAATCGCGACACGCCATTCCCACGGCCGTTGCATAATCCCATGAGGTTGTGACCATAGAGAAGCAAGATTAGCAGTTGCCGCTCGCGTGGACATGTCGGTTCTCATCTAGATGCTCTACCAAATGAGCCCAGGCTGGTGTAGGATCCTCCACACACCCTAGACTTCATCAGTCTCCGCAGTGCTGAGGAGCAGTGTTGAGGAGACAGAAGCCGTTTTCCTTAGCTGGTATCGTCAACGTGTTTCAAACAACTAAGTATCATAGTCGTTTGGTTCGGACCTCGGGCGTGCGCAGATTTGCTCAACCACCTAAGCCATGCACATCCCTCAGTCTCCAGGTGGGTCTCATGAATATGGCTGGCATGTTCCGTTCCGCTTCCCTGCCTACGGCAAGACAGGTAGATCGCACTGCAAGGGCGGATTGAACTCCGATGCGTGCGCACATCACCACTACACGTACGATGTGGCGTTTCTCCCCTCAGCCCCCAGGGGTCGGCTTACTGCTGGCTGGCGCGGTTCCCCCTCCCTCGTTCAATGACGCGGCTGCCACCCCGCTGGTGCAGATCCACTCCCCCAGGCTCCCTCGCCCGCCCTCAGTGACCTCCCCGCGGCCGCCCTCTTCCCCCGCATCTTTGGTGCCGATCTGCCGTTCCGCAACCCGACCCAGGCCCCCACGGGCTGCGCGACCGCCAGCGCCGCGACAAAGACATACCACAATGGCCGAGCACGCCCGTCGGCGCTCGGCACAGGATCGTCTACCTACGCGCACCCCGCACCGCCAAAGCGCGCAAGTCCTGGGGCACTCGGCGCGCCCCGAGGGAGGCGTGCGCGGGGCGCACATATGGAAAGGCACGCCCCGGCCTCTAGTGCAGCCGATCCCGAGTTCCCGCTCCATCCTTCTCACGCAGGGAGGAGGACGGGGGGAGGAGGATCAGCACCAGCACCAGCACCAGCAGGGGGAGAGCAGGGAGGAGAGAGGAGGAGAATGAGAGAGGAGGAGGGGAGGGGGAAGAGAATGGTGATGAGGAGGAGCAAAGGGGGAAGGACCGAGAAGGAGGAGCACGAGAGGAGCGAAAGGATATGGCGGGCAACGAGGGAAATAGGAGGAAGGGGAATGAAGAGGGAGTAGTCCAGGGGAGAGGGAAGGAGGAGGAGGGGGAGGAGGGGGAGGAGGAGGAGGAGGAGGAGGAGGAGGAGGAGGAGGAGGAGGAGGAGCAGGAGGAGGAGGAGGAGGAGGATGGCTCCTCCGTCGGACGCGCGGAGGGCCGCGGGGTACCTCCCTGGGCTTCGCGGGCAGTGCAGGGGCGCTCTACAGACAAAACGCTGCAGCAAGGACCGTGTTAAGATGTTGAGTTCTCGAGGGGCTCTGGCTCTGAAGCCGCACCGTACACCTAGCTCGGAAACCCCACTCGTGGCCGAGGCTCGCCATGGCCCAGAAAGTGTCCCTCGTTCCTTGTCTGGGGTTCCGCATGGCAGCACGATGACTGCACGCCGCAGAGGTGTGAGTCGCCCCCGCCCCCACCGCCGGCTTTCGGTTCCGAAGAAGGGCCTATCAGGATCTCAAGGGAACGGCCGTCTCCACAGGATTGAAATTCGCCGAATGACTCCTTCGAAGTATTTGGTCGATTTGCCTTCCTCCGGATGGTTCTCGATCAGGCTTGACAGCAGATGTCGCAAAGCATCCCGTCCGATAGGACTTGCATTTCTGGGGGAACGTGGTGCCCCCATTTATTTCTCCTCGTCGTGAAAGAATCACGAAGGGGGGTGACAGTTCTCGGTTTCTAGGGGCCCGCATCGGGCCCCAGCATTGTCAAAAAGGGAACGGGTCTGGACCTTTGGGGGTCCACGTTGTGATAAAAACACGACGTCGGACGTCTGAGCCCGTCGATGCCAAGGACTCGAGCTAAAAAAGACTTTAGCGTTGGAGCCTGCTCACTCTGCTGAGCGCTGGTCGATTGTGAGCAATTGGTTGAGTCAACTCGCCTCGGGATGGGCTAGAGTAGTTACCTCAACGCCTTAATCATGTAGGCGTTGCGCTGGAGAGACGGGTGGAGTATCTCTGTCAAACAGCATTTTCATAGTGTCGGTTCCAGTCTAGAGCGGGATCAGGATCACGTGAAGATGTATTAAACATGTTGGTGCATGGGGTTGTGATGTTTTGGTGACCCTCTCCTACAGACGATTGTCATACACAACGCAGGCTCAAAGGCATATGACCTTGATGCAACCACGCACTTCTTTATGCGACTGGAATGTCACACAGGCTTGTCTCATTGAGTGTTCAATCTCGTGCGACAGAATAGATACATTATGCAATATGTTGAACAACAGGGCAACTTGCATTGCTGCGTGCGCCACCCCAGGAATGGATACACATGACGCGCTGTGCAACACCATCCCGACGGATATGTGCGTACGGGTTTCCTGGCAAGGCCGTGCTCGTGCATTGCAATTCGTTTGAACCCCCCATTGACATTGAGCATGTTCTTCGCAATGCCGTCAATTGAGATTGGCATGACGATGTGGCGTCTCTCATGTTTCTGTCACGCAGGGGGTCCAGGACAAGGGCGACTGGCTTGTGGTAGGTCATACTCTTTACAACGTGCCAAATTTACAGCTATCCCAGCAAATTCCTCTCAACATCAGCGTCCGCCTGTGCAGTTGTTGAACGATGTCGCTATGTATTTGCATCTCGACTCTCCATCGCTCTCACCCTCCACCTATGCATAAACACATTGTGATCAATCGTTTGCTCTACGCGACCAGCTGCATATGTTTCGTTGTGTAGTGCACGGGTATATGTTCTTGAGTTGACGAATGCATCATTGTTGATTGTCCCCCGCTTGAGCTGTTGGAAGCTCGAACCGATTCGGCTCGCGATGCGTACCTCGATGGTCCAGGAAAGAGGCCAGTGCGAACCGAGACCGAAGAGCGGCCCAGATTTTGTGCATCTTGATTTCTTTACGTATTTTGATTACTATTCGGCCCAGCTCCCAACCTATTGTTAACGCCAATTCAGTCTCCGTGCAGGGATTGGTTCGCATCTGAGGTTTATTATATTTACCAGGCCGCTGCATTGTAGCCATATTGTACTGGCTGGTCGACACGTGGCCCACGCCATCAGATTGCGCGCTAGAGTTTGAGTGCAGGCTCCGCTCTAGTGAAGTATTTGTTTATTTTCCAATGCACTGCGCATATACACTGCTTACCAGTGTAGCTTTTGTATACTTGGGCATTATAATTCGTTTACCAAAGCATGTCCCTTGTCGTTCGCAAGAGTTTCTGCAAGTGTTCTACAAGTTCCATTAGCACTGGAATACATGACGGGTGTAACGAGCAGCGGATATCGTGGACCATACGAACACACACACACACGGAGGACGCGCATCGGTTTTGCCAGGTTCTGAGGGACGGTGGTGAATCGGCAGAGGTTGCACCCATGTGGGTCGATTCTGAAAGCGTCTCCAGTGACCAGAAAGCAAGCGGTGGGCCAGCCAACGGTATACAAGCTACCAGCGATGCTTCAATGCCCAACCAACCAGGCCACATGTTGTAATTAGTGGGCATGCGCCAAGTAGGATGATGATATGGGAAAGCCATGAGA